GCAGGACCGGAAGGAGTGTTAGAAGCAGCATTGGTACCGAATGCAGCTGCAGTGGGTGGTGCTAAGGAGGATGGGCGACCCGAGGAGGAGGTGGAGGAGGAGGAGGGGCGGAGGGTGGGAGAGCTGAAGAGGGTGGAGGTGGAGGTGAGAGCGCCCAGGTAGGACTCTGCTGTGAGGGAGTCCTGGAAAGAATCTGCCACTGCCTTCTCTGTTTGGGATAGGCTGAGAGGTGAGAAGTGGTGTGAGAGAGGTGGGGATAGGAGGGAAAAAACGAGAGGTATGTTTTGAGTTGCATGGTTCTGGAAACAGGATGTGATATGCATGCAGCAGCCAAGCAGCATGCTTGCTTGCAATATCAAGTTAATGGGAAATTCAAAGCCACCCCACCCAGAGAATGATAATTACAGCAACTGAGTGCCGACCACATCAGCAGGAATGCATGTCTCGATAAACCGCACAACTTCACGTGCCACCACTGCCATCCTCTCCCCTCCTCCCACTCCTCCCACTCCTCCCACCGCTCCCACTGCCCCTCCTGCTTGTCCTGTGCCTGGCCCCACCCCGCCACGATTCCTTGGCCCCTCTCTCCCCCCTCCTGCTGATGACGCTGCACCTCCCCCTCCCACCACAACTCCCTGTGAACTCGCAGCAGCAGCAGCAGCAGCAGCTGCAGCAGAGGAAGAGGAGGAGGTGGAGGAGGAGGAAACGCGCCTGCCAGATGTGCTTGCAGCAACTGCTGTTGCAGCAGCAGCAGGAGCAGAAGTAGCAGAAGCAGCAGAAGCGGTGGTGGGAGCTGAAGAGGAGGCTGGGTTGAGGAAGAGGAAGAGTCGCCTGTGGGGGGAGAGGAAAGGTTGAGAAGGGCAGAGGGTGGCTGGCAGCGAATTCACAGCTCACACAAGGACATGCTATTGCAAGACTTAAATGGCTAATAAGAAATAGAGCTGGCTTTTGATGATTCATGAAATCCTACTGTCATCTCTCAACCATTCCTCACGATGACTCACTCCAGGATATGCTGGGCCTGGGTGGGTGTAGCTCTTGACTCGGATATGCCCATGCCTTGTATACACGACAGGGGTCCACATGATGACATATATGTATGCCCTACCGATCCTCATACTCACTCCAGGATATGCTGGGCGTGGGTGGTAGCTCTTGACTCGGATATGCCCATGCCTTGTATACACGACAGGGGTCCACATGATGACATATATGTATGCCCTACCCATCCTCATACTCACTCCAGGATATGCTGGGCGTGGGTGGTAGCTCTTGACTCGGATATGCCCATGCCTTGTATACACGACAGGGGTCCACATGATGACATATATGTATGCCCTACCCATCCTCATACTCACTCCAGGATATGCTGGGCGTGGGTGGTAGCTCTTGACTCGGATATGCCCATGCCTTGTACACACGACAGGGGTCCACATGATGACATATATGTATGCCCTACCCATCCTCATACTCACTCCAGGATATGCTGGGCGTGGGTGGGTGTAGCTCCTCTTGACTCAAATGAGTGACATCGCCCATGCCTTGTACACAGGGCAGGGGTCCACACCACACCACATGACTCAATGTATGCATGCCCTACCCATCCTCATACTCACTCTAAAATATGCCGGGCCTGGGTGTAGTTTTTTACTCGAATGAGTGACATCGCCCATGCCTTGTATACAGGACATGGGTCCACATGATGACACGTGTCACACAGAGCAGCTGCCAGCTCATAACACTCCTCCTTCACCAACCCGTCCCTAAGCGCCAGGGTCGCGGACAGGGACGCCTCCCGAGCCTCTGCTTCTGCTTCGGGATGCAGCCGGGGCTGTGCCGAGCCGTGCCGGTGCTGCTGCTGCTGCATCGACCTTGGTTGCTGCTGCTCGTGATGCCGCCGCTGCTGCTGTTGCATCTCAGCGCTTTGACCAGAAACTCTACCCCAGCCCATATCCCCTCCCACTGCTCCCCCTCCTGGCCCCGCTGCCCCTCCTCCTCCTCCCCTTCCTACTGCCCCACCCCTCTCCTCTCTTCCTCCCATCACTGAGTGAATGTACAGAGAGGCAAACAACCCAGGAGAACCGGGCTGGAAGTCAGGGTCACCCCCTCCAAGCTCGTCAATCCCCACCCCCACATTGTCCGCCAGGAACCTTCTCAGAAGCTTCACCCGTGCAATCCATGCCTCTGCCCGAACCAGCAGCTGCTTCAGAGCCTTCAGCTGCGTCCGAACCTGCGCCGGGTCTCGTGCCCGAACCTGCGCCGAGCCTCTCAAACGAACCTGAGCTGGTGGCTCGTGTGCCGAGCCTTTGGTTCGGGTGGCAGGTCCGGGCTTGGCAAGCTGCGTCTGGTATGCCAAGAGCATATCCCTCACAATGGTAAGTGCCTGCAGAGGGAAGGAACAGAAGAAGCAGGGGGGTGGATGATGTATGAGTCGACTCTCAAAAGTCTGCTGAAGCTGCGTGTGATGTGAGGTATGAAAGGTAAGGAGCATATCCAGTCCCGAACCTCATTCCATGGGGCCCCATCTTCTTCCCAAACCCCCCTTCCTTTCTCCCTCCCTCACACCCCTTGTCCATCACACTCACTTTCAGGTATGCTTTAGAAAAAAAGGCCGACTGAGTCAGCGACAGCAGGCTGGTGCCACGTGGCACACTCTCCTTGGCCAGAGCCACGCCAGCCTGTTCCACCACCACCGCCAGCAGCCCTCTCACCACCGAGAATCTTCTCGAACACAGCGAAGCAAGCGATTGGAACAGAGAAACATCTGGTGTGTCTGGAAACACATGGTACTCTCTCGTTTCACCATCCCGCGTCTCTTCCCCTATCAAGATCGCTCCGTGCTGCATGTCCCGCGCTCCTAGCCTCCCCATTGCCTCCTCCTCTCCCTCCTCGCCCTCCCCTCCTCCGCTTCCCCCCTCGCACACCTCGTCCAATCCCGTGCGGCCACCTGGCAGGTAACCCACAGGCCGGCCAATCAGCTCAGGAAGAGACATGGAGCTGATTGTAGCAGCGGATTTCAGAAGCCGCCCAGAAACTTCCGAATGGGCGCCGGCTGCTCTACCAGCTGTAGCAGCTGTAGCGGTACCTGTGCCGTGTGGGTGGTTCAGTGAACCTGGACGTGGGCTGGTTTGCAGGCTGGCAGTGCCGCTGCTGATTGTCCTGCCTAGCGTGCCGAAACGGGTTGCACCAGCACCAGAAACACCACCAGCACCAGTAGCACCAGCAGCACCACCAGAGGCAGCGGCACCACTGCGACCAGCAGCAGCAGCAGAGATAGCAGGGTGAGAAGTGTTGGTACGGGCAGGAGAATCCAGAGAAATGGAGGATGAAAGCCGTGACTTTGCTGCCTCTGCAAGCGTCGGCGGGCGATCCACCCCCAGTGCCCCCCCACTCCCTTTCCCCGCTCCTGCTGCTCCTGCTGCTCCTCCTCCTCTCCCTCCTCCTACCCCTCCAAACCCCGAAGCACCGCGTGGCGATGGCACAGGGCTGGCAAACGGGGAAGTATTGGAAGCAGCAGCAGCAGCAGAGGAGGAAGAGGAGGCAGAAGCACCCCAGGGGAAGACGCGAGAAGCTTGCTGTTGAATGCGGAGAAAGCTGCTGGTGATGGGTGCAGGGGGGACGGAGGGCGGACGGGGGATGGAGGAGGAGGAGGAGCGGAGGGAGTGTTGGTGGGGGAGAGGAGGAGGAGGGGGAGGAGGAGGGGAGGTGGCAGATGGGCGGGTGGTGGAGGGAGAGGAGGCAAAGGCGGAGGAGGAAGAGGAGGAGGAGGAGGGGGGGAGGGGGGACGGGAGGAGGGCTTTACGTGCGTAGGAGAGGAGAAGAGTGTCGTTGCGTAGGGCAGGGAACTTGGCAAAGATCTGCAAGGGCACAGGAGAAAGGGGTGACAAGGGATAACAGGTTTTGAGGCACCTAAAAAATTAAAGGGAGAGAAGGGGGGAGGATGAGGGCTTTGCGTGCATAGGAGAGGATGAGAGTGTCGTTGCGTAGGGTGGGGAACTTGGCAAAGATCTGCCAGAGGTGCAGGAAGAAGGGGTGACAGGAGAGGATACCAGGAGGTAACAGGGGGTAACAGGTGGTAGCAGGGGAAGAAGAAGGCAAAAAGTGCAAGGGTCAGGACACTGCCTGCCAGATGTCTTTTGAGAATTCTCAAGAAGCGTGTGAGATGAGATGACTGCTGCCCATCAATAAACGCCCCTCAAAGCAGCATCACTTTTACTCTACGTTACATTTAATTTTAAATATAGCACATAATCAAAATGCACCTGTGGCAGCAGGGAGGTGTGTTTCTCCAGTATAAGGCTCTCCACTATAAGCTCCGGCTGCAGCAGCACAGCCACATGCTGCCCTCCCAGCCGCTGCTGCCACTCCGTTGGGAAGGTTCCCAGAAGCTGCAGGCCTAGCTGTAGCTGCCTGGCGTCTGCCACGTCAGCAGGAGGCAGGTCGGCCTCTGCCGCGCGCTTAAGGACAAAATTCACCTGTTGAGAAGCGTGGGGAGGGGTGTGGAAAGGAGGGGTGGGTAGGAGGAGGGGTGTGAAAAGGAGGGGTGGGTAGGAAGGTGTGTGTGTAAAAGCAGGCCGCAAATCCGCCTCTGCCGCCTGCTTGAGGACGAAATTCACCTTCAAGAAGGCGATGGGGGAAGGAGTGGGTTGGTTGGAAGATGTGTTTGTTAGGCGCTTCGATACTTGAAGGAGGGGTGGGTAGGGGGTGTTTTTATTCGGCACCATAAGAAAACACTGTTCGGTTCGCCGAACGACTTCCCCAAAAAAGGGTGTTCGCCGTTCGCCTGTGAAGGTGTGTTCGGGCGAACCTCGAACACGTTCGTGTTCGACACGGGGCGTTCTGCAGCAGCGCCACGAACACGAACGTGTTCGGGCGAACCTCGAACACGAACGTGTTCGGGCGAACCTCGAACACGTTCGGGCGAACAATTTAACCTAAAAAAAAAATCGATCGAGGCGAACCGAACAGGTGTTCGTTTCTATGCACATCCCTACATGCAGGGACGGAGCCCACCGCATGGCCGACATGTCAGAAAAGTAGGTAACTTTGTATTCGACTCGAGAGAGACAACTCAGAAGTGAGGTGAGTGACATGGAAGGAACGCAGCAAGCATACACATGGGGGTACGTACGATGAGCTTCTTGGCGAGCCGTGCAGGGACGGAGCCCACCGCATGACTGATAGCAAGGTGAGGTGAGGGAGAGTGAGGTGTCTATTGAGTCGGAACAAAATTCACATGGATGGAAGACAGCAAGCATACACATGGGGATACATACAATGAGCTTCTTGGCGTGCAGGGACGGAGCCCACCGCATGGCTGATAGGCAGGTGACATAAGGTGACTGATGGGGTGGCTAGTCACATGGATGGAAAGAAGCAAGCATATGAGGGTACGTACTATGAGCTTCTTGGAATGCAGAGACGGAGCCCACTGCATGGCTGATAGCACCACGCCCATCACTCCCTCCCTCCCCTCCACTCTCCCCCTCGCCTCCCCTCCCTCATCCCCGCTCCTATTCCTATCATCACCACCAGAACCGGCACCCGCAGTAGCAGCAGCAGCAGGAGCAGCAGGAGCAGTGGAAGCAGAAGCACTGCTACCACCAACACCAGCCACACCAGAACCATCACCAGTAGCAGCAGAACCACCACCATCCATGCCGACCCCGTCTCCCTGACCCGCGTGCCTGCTGCTATCACGCCCTTTCGCCCTTCAAGCATCAGCCTCTCCAGATACCTCATTCCCACTGCAGGGCCCGAGTCACCTTGTAACGGATCCCCGCCCATGAGCTCACTCAGATAGCGCCCCCTTAACTCTGCTAGTAACGCCCCACCCACCCTCCCTTCTGACCCTGCTCCTGCTGCTTCTGCTGCTGCTCCTGCCACTCCTGCCGCCGGTCCCATTGCTGCTCTTTGTGCGGCTACAGCAGCCCCTGTAATACTAGCAGCAGTAGCAGCAGCAGCTTGTATCCCGGCTCCTGCAGCTGCTCCTGCTGGTGTTCCTGCTGCTGCTGCTGACACAGCATGTGCTTCAGCTAAGGACACAGCCTCTTTGACCGCTCCCTTGGCGGCCAGCTGGCGACACACGGACTCGGGATCATGAAAGCAGAGCGAGCGAACCTGGAGGGGAAGGGGGAGAAGGGGGGAGCAGAGAGCGGGACGGAGACAGGCCGAGGTTCTATATGGAAGGCAGCTTCTTTGACCGCTCCCTTGGCGGCCAGCTGACGACAAACAGACTCGGGATCGCGGAAGCAGAGCGAGCGAACCTGGAGGCCAACGATGAAAGCAGAAGAGCGGAGAGCGGGAAGAGGAGAGGCGGAGGTTATATTTCAAGGGCAGCCTCCAGTTATATTAAATAGTTCTCGAATACCAAATATTCCTTTGCAGGCTTACCCCTTGGGAGCTAGCTAGAGAGAGATAGACTCGGGGTTGCGGAAGCAGAGCGAGAAAATATGGTCGGAGAAGAGAGCAGGGACAAAGCTCTTTAAAGCCGACTCAGATGTTGTAGTCAGCTGACGACAGGGAGGTTGTAAAAGTGATTTTATGAGACGTCTCAAAAATCACATTTATCATGTTGCTGTCAGCTGATGACAGGGAGCGTTCTGAAAGACCATGAACGAGAATGACGGGCGGGTGAGAGAGAGAGAAAACGCATAGGAAGCCAGAGCAGGGTCGGCAAGAAAGAGCCACTGACCTGCTGCCACGTGGCAAGGGTTCTGTCGTTGAGAATGGAGCGGATGCGAGTATACTGGTCCACAGATGACTTGCAGGTGAGGAGCTTTGGGGGAACACGGAGACAGGTGGGGTGTGGCGTGGAGAGGTGGGAAGAGGAAAGGGAAGGGACGAGGGAAGGAAGACATCTTAGAGAATGGAGCGGATGCGAGTGTACTGGTCCACAGATGACTTGCAGGTGAGGAGCTTTGGGGGAACAGGGAGACAGGTGGGGTGTGGCGTGGAGAGGTGGGAAGAGGAAAGGGAAGGGACGAGGGAAGGAAGACATCTTAGAGAATGGAGCGGATGCGAGTGTACTGGTCCACAGATGACTTGCAAGTGAGGATCTTTGGGGGAACAGGGAGACAGGTGGGGTGTGGCGTGGAGAGGTGGGAAGAGGAAAGGGAAGGGACGAGGGAAGGAAGACATCTTAGAGAATGGAGCGGATGCGAGTGTACTGGTCCACAGATGACTTGCAGGTGAGGAGCTTTGGGAGAACACGGAGACAGGTGGGGTGTGGCGTGGAGAGGTGGGAAGAGGAAAGGGAAGGGACGAGGGAAGGAAGACATCTTAGAGAATGGAGCGGATGCGAGTGTACTGGTCCACAGATGACTTGCAGGTGAGGAGCTTTGGGGGAACAGGGAGACAGGTGGGGTGTGGCGTGGAGAGGTGGGAAGAGGAAAGGGAAGGGACGAGGGAAGGAAGACATCTTAGAGAATGGAGCGGATGCGAGTGTACTGGTCCACAGATGACTTGCAAGTGAGGATCTTTGGGGGAACAGGGAGACAGGTGGGGTGTGGCGTGGAGAGGTGGGAAGAGGAAAGGGAAGGGACGAGGGAAGGAAGACATCTTAGAGAATGGAGCGGATGCGAGTGTACTGGTCCACAGATGACTTGCAGGTGAGGAGCTTTGGGGGAACACGGAGACAGGTGGGGTGTGGCGTGGAGAGGTGGGAAGAGGAAAGGGAAGGGACGAGGGAAGGAAGACATCTTAGAGAATGGAGCGGATGCGAGTGTACTGGTCCACAGATGACTTGCAGGTGAGGAGCTTTGGGGGAACAGGGAGACAGGTGGGGTGTGGCGTGGAGAGGTGGGAAGAGGAAAGGGAAGGGACGAGGGAAGGAAGACATCTTAGAGAATGGAGCGGATGCGAGTGTACTGGTCCACAGATGACTTGCAGGTGAGGAGCTTTGGGGGAACAGGGAGACAGGTGGGGTGTGGCGTGGAGAGGTGGGAAGAGGAAAGGGAAGGGACGAGGGAAGGAAGACATCTTAGAGAATGGAGCGGATGCGAGTGTACTGGTCCACAGATGACTTGCAGGTGAGGAGCTTTGGAGAGGGAGGTGGGAGGGAGGTGGGGAGAGAGGTGGGGAGAGAGGTGGAAAGGGGAAAGAGAAGGGAAGGGACAAGGGAACACAGATCTCTTGGAGGATGGAGAGAAAGGCGAGAGTGTTTCGATCCACTTTGATCCACTTGCAGGTGAGGATCTTTGGGGGGAGGTGAGAGGAGGGTGGGGAGGGGAGGAAGGTGAGAAGGGAGAGAGGTGGGAACAGGAAAGGGAAGAGTCGAGGGAACAAAGACCAAGACGATTTTATGTTTCAACAAAGACGAGTGTTAGGGTTTAAGGTTTACCCTAAACCCTCAACATGCAATTCTAAAGTGTGGCACACAGAGGAGATACAGGATCACAGATACTATCGCGTCTGCTATGAACATTCCAAAGCCGGAAGGCAACGAGCATACCTGAGAGCGCAGGGGCGAGTGTGCAGGGAGGTGTGAGAGGCAGGTGTTGAATACGGTGAGGATGTGTGACAGCTGCCAGCTGTGGTGGTACCTGTGGTAGTGCAGGCGGCGGGCATGCACAGAGAACATACGTGCACGCAGACGCAGCAGAAAATATGCTACACACCCCACACAGTAAAAGGCGTCGTTAGAGTCTAGTAAAAAATAGCACATAGCACACAAAAAGGGCACATACAGACGTTTGCTGAGCTTCTAGATATTTTTATCATGGTAAGCTACCATCATCACCATCATCACAGAACCAGAACCGCCATGATTAAAACAGACAGATTCACCCACCCTTGTAAGCGGTTCTTGAGAATTCTTAGATTTCAACCCCCCATTTCACCTGAGAGCCAGGGCCGCTGCAAGCTCCTTGTCTGCCACGCGAATCACGAACCGCCAGCTGTCACCCGCTGTCACCGGCTTCCTCGCGGTCTTGCCAGCACTGCCAGTGCGACCCCCTGCCTCGCTCCCCCCACCAGCAGCAGCAGCAGCAGCAGAAACTGCAAACCCAACTCCTCCACTCCGTGGGCTCTGCTGCAGCCTGCTTGCCTGCGTAACAGGCGCTTTCTGAAACCGCATCACGTCTCCTCCTGCTGCTCCTGCTACCCCTGCCGTGTGCACGTGAGCAGCAGTAGCACCATCAGGGCGTTCAGCCTGCTCCACGAGCAGACACAGCAGGTGATCTGGCGCCCCCTCAGGCAGCCACGTGTCTGCCAGCTCAAGGGCCTCGGCCAATCGTGAGTCAGCAATCAGGCTGGGACAAAAGAATGAGAAAAACGATTGCGGGGGAAGGGGAGAGGGGGAGGGGGAGGGGTGAAGGTGAAAGGAAGAAAATACCTAAATCAAATCAACTAGGGCTGGTATTTGCATCCTGTAATAAAGTGTTCTTTATTTTGATTGTATTTCAACTCCTCACCTCTCCAGGTGAATTCTCACCTCTCCAAGTGAATCCTCACCTCTCCAGGTGAATCCTCACAGGCCGCAAATGCTCCCACTCCGTCAACAGAGCCTCCAGCCGACCGCCAACCACTGCCGCCCCTGCTGTTGCTGCTGCCCCCACTCCTGCTGTCCCTGCCACTCCTGCCGCCCCTGCCACTCCTGCCGCCCCTGCTGTTGCTGCTGCCCCTACCGTCCCTGCCGCCCCTGCTGTTGCTGCTGCCCCTACCGTCCCTGCCGCCCCTGCTGTTGCTGCTGCCCCTACCGTCCCTGCCGCCCCTGCTACTCCTGCCGCCCCTGCTGTTGCTGCTGCCCCTACCGTCCCTGCCGCCCCTGCTACTCCTGCCGCCCCTGCTGTTGCTGCTGCCCTTACCGTCCCTGCCGCCCCTGCTACTCCTGCCGCCCCTGCTGTTGCTGCTGCCCCTACCGTCCCTGCCGCCCCTGCTACTCCTGCCGCCCCTGCTGTTGCTGCTGCCCCTACCGTCCCTGCCGTCCCTGCTACTCCTGCCGCCCCTGCTGTTGCTGCTGCCCCTACCGTCCCTGCCGCCCCTGCTACTCCTGCCGCCCCTGCTGCCTCTGTTGCCCCTGCGGGTGCTGCCCCTTCACCAGTGCCCAGCTCCTCTCTCATTCCACCTCTCGGTCTCCCTTCCTCTACTGACCAGCCCCCCTGGTCACTCGGTCTGTCGCCAACGTCGCTCTCAGCAACACCAGCACTCGCATGCCCTGTTTCTCCCACAGACAGTGAAACCCCTGGTTCTCCCATAGACAGAGAAGCCCTCTCGTCCCCACTTCCCACCTCAACCGCATCACTTTCAGCAACAAGAGGCCGCTTTGTGCCTCTTCCTCCTCCTTCACCCACCTGTCCTTTACCCACCACCAGCCCGCTGGAACTCTCAGCTACCCCTCCTGCTCCAGGTAATCTCGCCCCTCTCACTCTCCTTGGTGTTCCTTCTTGCCCTGCTAGCAGGAGTGCTGACCCTGCAAACGCCCTACCGCCCTTCCTGCTACTGCTACCAGGCGAATTCACAGCCAAGGTCCCTCCAAGGCTAGAGCTGCCCCGACTCAAGGGCTGTTCTCTCAATGCCTCCTGTTGCCCTATTGGCATTCCTCCCTCTCCTGATCCCCTTGGCCGTGCAACCCCCACCATCCCTGCACCCCCTGCACCCAGTGGCCCGCCTCTGACTCCTCCCCCCACTGTGCCCTCCCCACCTGCTGCGGCTCCTCCTAGTGGTGGTGCTGCAGCTGCTGCTGCTAGCTGCTTCGGAGGGCGAGAGGGTGCTTTAGCAGCAGCAATGGCGATAGAGTGAATGGCAGATTGCAGAGTGACCCACCGGTGGATGATTGGTGTGCTGAGGGGAGGAAGCGGGGGGTGTCCAAGTGAGGGGGGTAAGAGACAGGCGAAGAGAAGCAGCCTTAGGCTGATGGGCCAAAAGAAACGTTCAAAAGAAATGTTCAAAGGAACATGAGATGTTTGCCAGAGTCACATCTCAGAACACAGAATGCGAATCCACTCCACACACTAGGCTGTCCCAATAGCGTTTCTTGACTCACCCTGCAGAGTGCACGCGGGCATATTCCATCAGTTTCTTCGCAGCCTCTTCCTCTGCCTCCACTGCACTCCCCCCTCCACCCACTCCCCCTCCCTTGCCCCTGCTCCTATCACCTCCCAACACACCAGCAGGCCTAGTCCTACCCACACCACCAACACCAGCCACATAACCACCTGTGGCAGCAGCAGCACCACCAACACCGCTGGTAGCAGCAGGAGCGCCACCACCGGAAAATGCACCTATTGCTTCCAGATCACGCTCTCTCTCCTTGCGTCTGTGCATTTGCACTATCTGCTGTTCTGCTCCCAGCACACAAGCCAACACAGCATGCACCATGGATTCTCTCGCAAGCAGCTGAACCACGTCCATACTCAGTGCAAATCGCGGCGGCTCATACGGCGAAGGCATCAGAAGATTCTCCGCACTTTCCGGCCCTCCCTCTCCTACCTTGCCCCTACCCTGTCCCGAGCCTCCTCCGGACCTGTCCAGAACTCTGCTTCGGAAGCGCCGAGCCATGGAACAGAGCTTCAGGCTCGGCACCGGCGGCAACAGGCTCGGGAGAGCTGCGGGGATAATATCGGCAGGTAAGGACTCCCTACCCATGATCCCAGCCACATGCAACGCAGCAGCAATATCCCCTCTCACAAACACAAGCTCTCTTAAAAGTTCAACCGGGTCGATGTTTAGTAAAGAGAAGTAGTTAAAGGGGTGGCTGGGGTCACTGTCGTCGACAATATCACCAATCTGAACCATGTAGTTTAAGAAGACTGGCAGGTAACCCTTGGGATGCTCCCAAGACTGCTTCCCTGGCCCTCGCAACCCTGCTGTTGCCGCTGCTCCTGATGATGATGATAATGCTCCTGCCGTCTTTCCTCCCTTTTCCCCACCTCTTTCTCCCCCCCCTCCTGTCCCTCCTCCTGCTGCTTCTCCGCCAGTGCTAGACCCTAGAAGGGACTGTAGACCCACTACATTCTGTCCCTCTGCTGCAGCAGGCTGTTTGGCGTTTGCTGAGTTGAAAGAGAAGGGCCAGAGACTGGGCATGGAGGATCGCGGCACAGGAGGGAGCGGGGCAGACGTCCTGGCACCTGAAGAGGCACCTGAGGAAGCACCTGAGACGGCACCTGACGAGGCACCGGGAGGAGCAGATACGCGTGCCGATGCAGCAGCAGATGGGGTGCTTGTGATGGTGGTGGTTGTGGAGGGAGGGGGCATGCTGACCGCACCTATAGAGGAGCGTGATGGTACTGAAAGGGGAGACGGAGCAGCAGCAGCAGAGGATGCAGTGGTAGTGGTAGCGGCAGTGGAGGGAAGAGGGAGGGAGGTAGATATGGTTGAACCTCCTTCAGAGAGCTCTTCAACTGCTGCTGCCACCGCTGCTGCTTCCAATGCACCAGCAGCACCGGCACCTTCCCTTGCTGCTGCCACCGATGCACCAGCAGCAGCAGCAGCAGCGGAGAGGCCAAGGCTAGAGGAGGAGCGGGTCCAGCGGGGGGAGAGAGGAGGGGTGTGCACAGGAGATCCTGCTGCCACCCACACTCCTCCCGAACCTGTTGCTGCTAAGCCCGCCACCGCAGCTGCAGCAGCCACCGAGCCTTGGGAATCGGCTCGGGCAGATACTGCAGGCACACTTGCTGGCCCCCCTCCTGCTGCTCCTCCTCCCGTTGCTCCTCCCCCTCCCCCATGCAACATTCGCCAGAGAGAGAAGGAGGAGGACGAGGACAAGGAAGGTCCCACAGCGGCGTCAGGAGCAGCAGCAGCAGCAGTAGCACCACCACCACCACCACCCCCAGCTGCAACAACCAGGGTATCCCCTCCACCTGTACCACCTGCACCAGCAGCACCTGCTGCACTGGCAGCACCAGCTGCTACAGCCGCTGGTGCTACAGCCCCTGCCCCTGCTACCCCTGCTACTGCTGCTGGCGCCGTACTCAGCCCAGAAACACCGGCTGCACTAGCAGCAGCTGTAGCACCGGCTGTAGTGGCAGCTGTAGCGTCTGCTGTGGCTGCAGCAGCATCGGCTGTAGCGTCATCTGTAGCAAGCTGCTCTGGCGAGATCACGTCCAGCCCAATGCCAAAGCCAAGCCCGCTGCCGGGAGGAGGACACGTGGCGGATCCTGATTGGCCAGCGGCCGTGGCAGGTGCGGGGATGAGGGGGTCTGCTGCTGGTTCGGGGTCTTCCAAGGCTCGGATGAGATTGTGGAGCTTGCCTGGCGTGTGGTGGAGGGGAGGTGGGGAGGAGAGGAAGGAAGAGTGGATGGCAAGATGCAGGGGGTTTTGGGAAGAAGGAGGGAGAAAAAGAGAGGCAATAGAGGGGGTCTGCTGCTGGTTCGAGATCTTTCAAGGCTCGGATGAGATTGTGCAGCTTGCCTGGCGTGTGGTGGAGGGGAGGTGGGGAGGAGAGGAAGGAAGAGTGGATGGCAAGATGCAGGGGGTTTTGGGAAGAAGGAGGGAGAAAAAGAGAGGCAATAGAGGGGGTCTGCTGCTGGTTCGAGATCTTTCAAGGCTCGGATGAGATTGTGGAAATTGCCTGGTTGAGGGAGGGAGGGGTGGGGGAGGGGAAGAGGGGTAGCACGACGTACCACTAACGAGCACTGTGCGTGAGGAGCCTATTTTTTAGTCGACTCAAAAATAGGTTGAGGGAGGCAGGGATGGGGGAGGGGAAGAGGGGTAGCACGACATACCACTGACGAGCACCGTGCCTGCCTCACAAACCCCCACCACCTGCTGCAGCGTCATCACTGTTCGAGCCTTAAAACACTCCATCTCAGCTGAAAAAACGGCATGCCGACGGGCTATGGACCATACACCATGCTCAACAATCCTGCCACGTACCACTGACAAACTGTGTTGTGCCTGCCTCGCAATCCGCCACCACCTGCTGCAGCACAATCACCGCTCGAGCCTTGGGGCCCCAAGGACCTCTGAATTCCACATACAACTGAAAGGGGAAGCGCACCCATTCTCATTAACCATCACGTACCACTGACAAACTGTGCCGTGCCTGCCTCACAATCTGCCACCACCTGCTGCAGCGCCATCACCGCTCGAGCCTTGGGGCCCCAAGGACCTCTGAATTCCACATACAACTGAAAGGGGAAGCGCACCCATTCTCATTAACCATCACGTACCACTGACAAACTGTGCCGTGCCTGCCTCACAATCTGCCACCACCTGCTGCAGCGCCATCACCGCTCGAGCCTTGGGGCCCCAAGGACCTCTGAATTCCACATACAACTGAAAGGGGAAGCGCACCCATTCTCATTAACCATCACGTACCACTGACAAACTGTGCCGTGCCTGCCTCACAATCTGCCACCACCTGCTGCAGCGCCATCACCGCCCGAGCCTTGGGGCCCCGCCGGACCCCTGCCGAGCCTGACAGGCCCGGGGAAGGCGACAGGTGCGGCTGCACAGCGGCCAGCAGGCTTGGGAGAGGCGTGGTGGGGTCCTGATTCTGAATGGCCTAAATCCGCTGCAGCAGCCGCTCTGCTGTTGCCCATTGCACTGAGTTGAAGTTGCTCCTGCTATATCCCTCTTGCTCTTGCCGCTGCTGCTGCTGCTGCTTCCCTGGCTGATTCTTCCCTCTTCGGCCCTTGTCTTCTTCCTTCGGTCCTTCCTGATCCGCCTGCCAGGCTGTCAAGACAGTGCGAGCCTGCAGGATTGGTTGGAAGAAAGTATGAGGGGGGCAACCGCCAGTGCATAAAGGACACATCGACGTGCCTGCATGCGATAAAAAAACATGTAAATCTTGACTCAAATCCTCAAGGAATCTGTGCTTGTAAATGGGTGCTGACACGAAAACGAGAATGACTTTTGAGACGTCTCAAAGGTTTACACTCTTAGTAGGCTTGCTGCGTTTCGAATCCAACAAAATTCAATGGTAATGAGAACGACGATGAGAGAAAAAAATAAACATGCAAATGAGAAAGAGGAAATACCTGATCAAGAAGCACGAGGGCATCTGGGGCGGTGCGAGCCTGTGTTGCTGCTGCATCCAGCCGAACTGCCACCTGCATGCAGTGTGCAGTGAAGATACATTAGGACGTGAGCGGATAGTGTGGGGAGGGAAAATTCTTCAGCTCAATAGCACTCGCATTGTAGCACATACCATGTCCAGAAAGGAAAAACTTTTCTACATACCATGTCAAGAGCCGGAAACGTTTCCCACGTGGCCTGGGATTGAGCAAAGAAGAGCGAGAAGAGCGTGTCCACCCACCTGCTCGTTCTCCCTCTTTTGAGGCGCCCCAACTAGTGCACATACATGAAAATCACCTCAGCAGCGGGAAATGGTTTCCACTCCTACCATGTCAAGAGCGGGGAACATTTCCCACATGGCCTGGGACGGGGCGAAGAAGAGCGAGAACAGCGTGTCCACCTGCTCGTTCTCCCTCTTGCGAGGCACTTCAATAGTACATACCACCTCAAGGGCGAGATATGCTTTTCACACATACCATGTCAAGAGCTGGGAACATCTCCCACATAGCCTGGGACGGAGCAAAGAAGAGTGAGAATAGCGTGTCCACCTGCTCGTTCTCCCTCACTCGCCTCTCCCTCGCCTCCACACTCCCTACCCTCTCCAACCCACTCTTCCCACCTCCCCTCCCACTCGCACCACTGCTCCGACTGCTACTTCCACCTTCTTTGCTTGCTTCCCCACCCTGCTCCCCACTGCTGCTCCCTGTTGCCTTGCCACTAGCAGCAACACCACTGCTGCTGCTGCTGCTGTGTGTCCCACTGTCCCACCGGAGGACTCTGGATTGATGGTGGCGAGCTAACCACGCAGAGAGCTGCACTCGTGCCTCTGAGTGCACCGCCAGGGGGAAGCGGCGAGTGAGTGAGGCGCAGAGCGAGAAATCACCGACCGACAGGCAGCTGAAGAGAGGAACAAGGGCAGCAGGGGAACAGAGCAGGGGGAACAGGAGAGAGATCAATACCACCGCCACCACCGCTGCTGCTGCTGTTGCCTGTCCCACTATTCCACCGGACGACTCTGGGTTGATCGTGGCGGGCGAGCCAGGCGGAAAGCTGCACTCGTGCCTCTGAGTGCACCGCCAGGGCGAAGCGACAGGTGAGTGAGGCGCAGCTGCATTATGACAAGAGAAACAGGGGGAACAGGGGGATTCTCGTGCCATCGCTCCCTTGTGTTTTGAGACGCCCCAAGGAACAAGAATGGGCGCGATCAGAAACTTAAAAAAACACTGGAATGACCTGGAGAGAATAGCATGGTATGACTCACCAGGAGATGAGAGCAGAGGGCTCCACTCGCATTTACGCCACCACCTCGTGCCATCCTTTTTGTTTTGAGACATCCCAGAAAAGGAGCAGTGTGTGTCCTCAGGAAGCTTTGAGGCCCAACTCACCAGGAGATGAGAGCAGAGGGCTCCACTCGCATCCAAGCCACCACCTCGTGCCATCCCCATGCCGACCAATCACTCCGCTGTCTCCGCTCCTTCCCCTTCCCTGCCTGCCCATTCACCTCTCCTCCCTTCCTCCCACGTCCTTCCGTTCCACCCTCCTGCTCATAATCACTCGCTTCGCCTTCTGCCCTCTCCACCTCCTCCTCCCCTTCCACCCCTTCCAATACCGCCTCCTCTTTCAACTCCCCCTCCTCCCCTTCCCCCCGTCTGGCACGAACGCCCAGCCAATCAGCTTTCAGCACAGCCAGTCGCCACTGCCAGTCGTCCAGCCAATCACGCACTACCTGTGCCCTCTGCTTCCAATCAGAAGCCAGCACTTCCACTGCCGCCGCTGCCACGTCAGACGCCTGTGCGTCCAACTCAGCATCCAGCTCAGCAGCGAAAACAGCATCTAGACCATCGAATGTACTGTCTGAATCCGAAGCATCTGAATCCGAACCACGGTCAGCTAAACCCTCCCCAGACAACCCTCCATCTCCCTTTCCTCCTGTCATTCCCCCCTCACCCTTCCCTCCTATCTGTTGCAATCTCTCCTCTTCCATCCTCGTACCCTCCTCCTCCTCCTCCTTCTCCTCCGCCCCTGCCCCATCCCCACTAAGCAGCCTCCTTTTCCTTCTGGAAGGCAAAATTATCGTTTCTGCTGTGCTGCCCCTTTCAGGCCTACCCTGTCCCTTTTGTCCCAGCTGCTCCTCTTCTGACTCTGTTCCTTTCAGGCCAGCAGATGCAGCAGCAGCAGTAGCAGCAGCAACAGTGGCAGAACCATCACTAATATCAGCAGCAACAGCAGTGGCAGCAGCAGGAGCAGCAGGAGCAGCAGCAGCACCACCACCAACATCACTCCCACCAGATCCCACCTCCCCCACATCCCTCCGCCTCAACAGTGCCCGTGCCGCCCGCCTGTCCACGCCGCTCAAGGGAGACGCATCCAGCAGAAAAGGACGGGACATGCCGTGCGTCTCTGTGCCCTGGGGCGGCAGATGCCTGGCTATAGCCACCAGCAAGGACTCCATCACAGCTACAGCCGGAGGGGCTGATGGTGCTACACCTGGTGAAGCTGATGCTACAGCAGCAGCAGCAGCAGCAGCAGCAGCAGCAGCGTCTTCATGAGCCTGACCGGCAGCAGCAGTATCTGAATCTACCCGAGCGTGAGCAGCATCGTGCTTGGCCTGCAGCTGGAGCCGCGCCATAGTAACAGCTGCCAGGCAATCCTCGTCGTCTGCTGGATTGTCATAGTCAATCATGGTGGAAGGTGAATTGGAGGCAGCAAGAAGCAGCGACCGCACAGTGTGGCCCATCCAGATCTGAGACGCAGGGAGATCACGGAAGCAGAACGACCAGGGTCAATAATGAAATACCAGACAACGCAACTGCCCTGCTGTTGCCTGGCTGCCCGACATCCTGGCATTCAAGCCCCTCCTCCCCAACCCTCCTGCCCTTCCTCCTCACCTTGCGCGCAGCAGTGGTAACACGGGCAGCATGGTGTTCAAACGACTCAACCGCTCTCAACGCCTCTGCTGCTTCACGCTGCTGCACCCCTCCCCTTCCCTCTCCTCCCCTGCCACCCCCTGCCATGGCATGCACGGCGATTTCTGCAGCCTGGGCGGCAAACAGCATGTGAAGTAGCTCCACGTCCCAGTCCCTGTGGAGGGGGAGCAGGGAGCAGCACACAGAGGGGATTCTCCCAATCTGACTCAGTCCAAAAGTCCCCCCTGCCACTCCCTGCCACGGCACGCACGGCAGTTTCAGCTGCCAGGGCGCCAAAACAGCATGTGAAGGAGCTCCACGTCCCACTGCCTGGAGGGGCAGAGAGAAGGGAGCAGGGAGGAGGACAGAGGGAGGAGAGAATGTTCTCCCAGTCCGACCCAATCCACCACCATCGTCCTTTCCTGCCTCCCCCTGCCATGGTACATATTGGCTGGGGACTCCCCCAGCAGTCTTTGCTGCCTTGGTGTGTGGAGGGAGTCCCCAGCCAATATGTGCAGGGGCGAGCGAGTGCACCTGCATCAGCTCCAACACCAGCCGTGCAACAAACGGGTCAGCTGTTCGCACCATACCATGCAGGACAATCTCTCACCTGCCAGATGTGCCATCAAGTATGCTGCCTCCAGCTCCCGGCTGAGCCTTGAGCAATTCAATGACTTCTTCTGCGTGGAAGCAGCCGGCGCCCAGAGAGAGCAGCACGTGTAGGGGCGGCTGCACCTGCAGCACTCCACTGCCAGCCGTGCAACAAACGGGTCGGCTGCTCGCACCAGGCTAGCCACTGCCTTGGGACTCAACACATCGGCGGAGGCATAGAGCTGATGACGCTGGTTTTTGGGGTGCTGCTTATGATGCTGCTGATGGTGCTGGGTGTAAGGCTCAGGCTGCTGCTGCTGCTGCTGCTGCTGCTGCTGCTGCTGCTGCTGCTGCTGCTGCTGCTGCTGCTGCAAATGATGGTGACCGTTCTGCTGCTGCTGCTGCTGCTGCAAGGCAGCATAGCGTGCAGCAATGAGGAAGGCCAGGTGCGCGTGGTAGATAAGGTGAGAGCAGCACACGCCACCAGCCTGCTCCAGCAGCTGCTGCTGCGACAACCAGGAGTTGTGAGCGAGAGGCTTGTTGGGCGGCAGATCTTGGCAAGACTCGTGAGACAGCAGGGATGTGTGAGCACCTTCATGTGGCCGCAGGGCACAGGAGGACTGGATGGGCCAGAGAGCCCAGAGGAGGCGCAGGCGGGTGGCAGGGTGCGAGGGGCCTATGAGGTCCCAGGCGATGAGGGTGGTGAGAGGACGGAGAGGGGGGCACAGACGGAGGATCTGCAGGGAGGCAAGGGGAGGAGGAGGGCGGGAAGGAGGGAGGAGTGAGGAGAAGATCAATAAGCATGAGCAGGCGGGTGGTGGGGTGCGAGGGGCCTATGAGGTCCCACTCCCAGGCGATGAGTGTGGCGAGGGGGCGGAGAGGGGGGCACAGACGGAGGATCTGCAGCAGGAAAGGAGGGGAATGGGGGGTGGAAAAGATGAGGAAGACGGCTAAATATTAAAGCTGAAGCAAACACGCACATCCAGAATGAGAGCTGGATTTAAAAACGGGAGTTGACCAGCCCTAAACCCGATACCCTGAACCAAAAACCCTTGCGAAGTGAATAAAAAGGTTTATGAGGAAGTGAACATGTGGGTGTGAACCATTGGTTGGTTGCATGATAAAAGAAGGGGTTTGGTCGGGGCATGGAGCATCTGAGCCAAGCTGAAACACTCACATGGTTGGCTTTGCTGAACTGCCCCGCATGCACAGCAGCCAGAGCTCCCTCCAGCACACTCCCCACCACCCTCCTCTCCACTCTTATTACACGCTGTTCCTGAGATTGTTCAGATACATCCCCTGCACAAAACACTTACATGGTTAGCCTTGGAAAACTGCCCGGCATGCACAGCGGCAAGGGCTCCCTCCAGCACACTCCCCACCACCACCCGCCTCTCCACCCTCGCATGCTCCACAAGCTCCCACACACACCGCTCCTCCACACTCTCTCTCCACACACCTTCTCCTCTCACACCCTCTCTCCTCCCATCCTCGCCACCACCTCCCCGCCCCCCCATCGTCTGCTCTCCTCCATCCCCTCGCCCGCCCTCACCCGCCACCTCATTCGCTCGAACCGTTTCTCCTTCTAGCTTTCCCTCACTCTCGCCCTCTACATAGTTCGTTTCTGCTTGGGTGTTGCTGCCATGTTGAGACAACAGCAGTGTATGAAGAGCCTCCAAGGGAGGAGCAATGGGGGAGTGGCAGGCAGATCGCTGGGACTCGCTGTGGATGTGGTCGTCCCATGCAGCCTGGAGGAGAGAAGAGGAGAGAGAGAGAGAGTGAGACAACAGCAGCAGCGCGTGAAGAGCCTTCAAGGAAGAGTGGCGGGCGAATCGCTGAGACTCACAATCGACATGATTACCCCACACAGCCTGGAGGAGAATAGTGGGGAGGAGAGGAGAAAGGAGGGGTGACAGACAAGGGACAAGGGAGGGGATGGAACAACAGAGTACGCCGTACTCAGTAAGGCATGGATGAATGTTAAATTGACCCCGTACACAACCCCATGCCATCACACCACATGTCATTACTTCCCCATGCCATCACATCACACCCACATGCCATCATGCCATCATGCCATACATACCTGAAACAGCCTGATCAGCCGAACCGAACCAGAAGCTAGCAGCTCCTGGACGGCAATTCTTGTCTCTTCCTTCCTCACTGCCGTCCAAACAGGAGTGCTGGACGGCGCTTGTTGGGGCACCTGAGGGCGCAACGCAAGCACTAACTGGTACAGGGTGGACCTGGAGGGAGGGAAAACGCAAGGGAAGCACGTACGAGTGAGTTGTCACTCACTGACACATGTTATGCCTTTGATTTGCCTCCAAATTCACCTGGTTGGTGCATTTGGGGGCGCAGCGCGAGCACCAACTGGTGCAGGGCGGACCTGCAGGGAAGGGAACCAGAAGAGAAACAGTGTAAGAGTGAGTTGACACTGACACATTTAACACTTTTGAGTTACCTCATATGTCACCACCTTACACGTGAAAGCAGCTCACACCACATTCAGGTACCGCAGGGGACCGGCTGTTCCCATACGAGCATGTACTGTGGACCTGTTCCCATTCAAGTATCTCAATGCCTTTGTACTGCCGCTCATACGAGCATGTAATTCACGCTCACCTGTACCGCCACTCCTCCACAACCCCACGCTCTTCCCTAACGAACTCCAAGGCCTCTGTGCTGCTCACCTGTGAGTGAATGAGTCAACCGTACCTGTACTTCTCCTCCTCCAAAACCCCGTACTCCACGTTCAGGTACCGCAGGCGACCAGCTGCTCCCTTCACGTCCCCCGCCTCTAGCATAGATGCCACCGCCCCCAAATGAGCCTCCTGCACCCATCTCACAGCCGGCACAGCTGCCGGCCAGGTTTGTGAGGGTAAATTACCCTCACTTTCAAGTCTCTCGAGTCCTGACGTCAGCCTCCTCCTCCTCCGTCTCTGGCGCAGAACATTCCTGGAAAGCTCACCCAGAATCTCAGGGTATTCTCCAACAACCAAGGAAACGCCGGCAGGTGTCGCATCAGAAATGGCGGTCCCAACGTAGCCAGGTTCCCGCTCTGCTGCTGCGTCCCCTCTCTTTTTAACCACTGCAGAACTTACTGACTCAGTTTCCACCGCCGACCCTACCAACACTGCCTCTTTCGCCTCTTCCCCTATCTCACTGGCACTAAGCCTACTCCCCACAACCAGCGGTCTACTGGGAAGGCCCCAGACGGATCGGCCATGAAGCAGTGCGACTGCTGCACGCATCTCCTCCCCTCTTCTCAAATCCTCCCCTTCTCGCTCCTGCACATCTCCAGGTAAACCCTCCTGCTCGCCTGTACGCGTTACAGGACGATCCACTCTCTGTAAGAATGCAGATTCATGCACCTTGAGCGAGAGCTGGGCCAGATAAAAGTCCAATTCCGCTTCATCCACCATCACTCTCTCCTCCTCCAGACCGTCGCCTGTTTCCCTCCCTCCTCGCTCCTCTCCTTCCTCCTCCTCTTCCCCCATCCTATCCCCCCGTCCTCCCTCCTCCTCCCCCTCCTGATCCTCTCCCTGTCCGTCCTCAGCTGCAGCAACAGCCGTCCAGACACCCCTTTCAGAGCCTCTTCTCTCTGCTCCTCTCACCCAATCCCCTCCCACTCCCCTCTCTCCCCTCTCTTTCCTCTCCCAATCCCCTCCCTCTCCTCGCTCTCCCCTCTCTCCCTGCACCTTACACAGCTCTCGGTATTCCCCAACGCACAGCCACGTCAGATGGGCGGCAGACGGTACAGAAGCCGACCAAACAGCCCCGGGGATCTCTCCCCCCGTTACAATCACATCCCTCAGCAGAGAAATCGCACAGGAGGGGCTGAGCCGTGCAAGGTCCCTGACAGTCGCTCTAGCGAGCTCGAATTGTGACAGTATCAAATGGTTCGCCACTGGATGTGACTATATCGAAAGCCAGGGGAACGTAACGAACGGGGGATTCTGACAGGAACTCGGAACCAGCGACACCAGCTGCAGCAGCATCATCACCATCATCACCACCACCAGCACCAGCATCAGCAGCAGCCGAAGTGGAGCCTGTCTCATTCTCCTGCTCACTTCCTCCTCCTTCACCGGTTGTAGAATTTACAAACGTCCTGCCACTACTATTCTCAGTTTCTTCTTGGGAAATCGTGGCGTTATTAATCGCACCAGAACCGTCCAATCCCCCAGAGTTACCACCTCCAAAACCTCTGGACCTGAGCCCCGGATTGTCATCAGCAGCAGCAGTAGCTCGTTTCGCGTCCTTAGCAACGTCGAAACCAGCGTCTGCTCTCTCGCTTGGTCTTTCAGCAACGCTCGCTGGTGGGATTGCTGGGTTGACAGGACTGGTAGGCGTCGCTGCTGGCACCACTGCTGCTGAAGCTGTTCCTGCGGCTGATGGGGATGCTTCTGATGAGGATTGAGACGACTGCGCCGCTACTGTTGCTGCAGATGACGCCGCTGGCGATCCACCTTCTAGGGATGACGTCACGGACGGGTCGGTTTCCTGGATGCTTCGGTCCCCTTCACTAGCGGGAAACTCGTCTTCGATCTTCGCCAGTCGCGGCTTTCGCTTACGGCTCCACATCGTTGAAAAGCTTCTTTTCTCGATTTCTTATGCCGAAATGATTGCTTGAAACACACAACGTACGACAGGAGAAGAGGCCGCCATCCACACAACGTACGACAGGAGAAGAGGCCGCCTCTTATAACGCGGCGTTATCAGTGCTACTAATGCCACGCGCACGTCTAATTGCCGTACAGCCAAACCAAGCCTACATCCTCATCCTACTCTTCCCCTCCTGCTCTCTTCTCCTCGATAACAAATTCGCCTTACTGATGTCGCTTTGGCGCCTGAAACTCCAGATAACATTCTGTGGCCTGTCAGCCCCGCCATACGCATCCGCCTTTTAAGAAAACCGAGCTACCGGTATTGGCGCAAACCCGCACATTCAGACACAGGTACTAAAATTTTATTACTATCTCTTGGGCACTCCTTTTGAGGTTCCGTAGCCTATAATGGAGTATAAGAGCTTACTACATTGAATCAATACGTCCAATCCAGCATTTGAACCAGCTGGTACGGGTGTAACATTGGTTTTCGCTTCATTTTGAGATACGAAGGCGTAGCTCTGGCAGAAATTGGAACGTACGGAACTACACGAACATGAAACAGATATATAGCTCTTTGCCTGCTAAACAGAAGCAATCGTCGTAACCATGAGGGCGTAGATTAGAGCAGAAGCATTGTAAGTGGTGTGCAGGGCGACAGCTGGCAAGACGTTATTGGAGTAGACAGCGAGCAGGCCGGCGGCAATCCCAAGGGCCATGTTGGGGAAGAGCAGCGAAAGGGAGAGGTGGAAAAGGGCGAAAAAGGCTGCAGACAGCATGGCAGCGTCGATCCTGAGGGAGTGAAAGCAGGAAAGGGGATAGCGCACGAAGGTGAGTTAGTCAAACAAGGCTTGGCCTGCTGACTTGAGTTGACTAGCATGATTCGCGTTGACTTACATTGACTTCAGTTCTGAGATGTACCATGACAGGCTGAGATGTACCATGACAGGCTGAGATGTATCATGACAGGCTGATATGTACCATGACAGGCTGATATGTACCATGACAGGCTGATATGTATCATGACAGGCTGAGATGTATCATGACAGGCTGAGATGTATCATGACAGGCTGATATGTACCATGACAGGCTGATATGTACCATGACAGGCTGAGATGTATCATGACAGGCTGAGATGTATCATGACAGGCTGAGATGTATCATGACAGGCTGATATGTACCATGACAGGCTGATATGTACCATGACAGGCTGAGATGTATCATGACAGGCTGATATGTACCATGACAGGCTGATATGTGTCATGACAGGCTGATATGTACCATGACAGGCTGATATGTACCATGCCAGGCTGATATGTGTCATGACAGGCTGATATGTACCATGACAGGCTGATATGTACCATGCCAGGCTGATATGTGTCATGACAGGCTGATATGTGTCATGACAGGCTGATATGTGTCATGACAGGCTGAGATGTATCATGACAGGCTGAGATGTATCATGACAGGCTGATATGTACCATGACAGGCTGATATGTACCATGACAGGCTGAGATGTATCATGACAGGCTGAGATGTATCATGACATGCTGAGATGTATCATGACAGGCTGATATGTACCATGACAGGCTGATATGTACCATGACAGGCTGAGATGTATCATGACAGGCTGATATGTACCATGACAGGCTGATATGTGTCATGATAGGCTGATATGTACCATGACAGGCTGATATGTACCATGCCAGGCTGATATGTGTCATGACAGGCTGATATGTACCATGACAGGCTGATATGTACCATGCCAGGCTGATATGTGTCATGACAGGCTGATATGTGTCATGACAGGCTGATATGTGTCATGACAGGCTGATATGTGTCATGACAGGCTGATATGTGTCATGACAGGCTGAGGTGTACCATGACAGGCAAGGGTAAGAAAATAATTACCCAACCCAGTGGAATTGGATTGTTAGGAAAGAGTGTGCTTGGTGAGGTGTGGAAATTACCCAAATAGAACAAAAGCAAACCTCTTGCCAAACATCAAGCCTCTCACCAGCCTGCCCCTCACCTGCCAAACCTCTCACCTGCCGAGCCTCTCTTGCAGGGCCGTGATCAACAACCCTCTGAACAGCAGCTCCTCTGCTACAGCCAGCAACACCGCCACCCACAGGAACAGCTGTAGCAGGTCCAGCAGGGGGAGGGCCACAGTGGCTGTAGCAGAGGCAGCCGTAGCAACCACACCCCCTCCGGTCCCATCAGGCAGCAACAAAATAGCAACAAGGCTGTAACACTCACGCTATCCCACAGGAACAGCTGTAGCAGCCACACCCCCTCCGGTCCCATCAGGCAGCAACAAAATAGCAACAAGGCTGTAACACTCACGCTATCCCACAGGAACAGCCGTAGCAGCCACACCCCCTCCGGTCCCATCAGGCAGCAACAAAATAGCAACAAGGCTGTAACACTCACGCTATCCCACAGGAACAGCCGTAGCAGCCACACCCCCTCCGGTCCCATCAGGCAGCAACAAAATAGCAACAAGGCTGTAACACTCACGCTATCCCACAGGAACAGCCGTAGCAGCCACACCCCCTCCGGTCCCATCAGGCAGCAACAAAATAGCAACAAGGCTGTAACACTCACGCTATCCCACAGGAACAGCCGTAGCAGCCACACCCCCTCCGGTCCCATCAGGCAGCAACAAAATAGCAACAAGGCTGTAACACTCACGCTATCCCACAGGAACAGCCGTAGCAGCCACACCCCCTCCGGTCCCATCAGGCAGCAACAAAATAGCAACAAGGCTGTAACACTCACGCTATCCCACAGGAACAGCCGTAGCAGCCACACCCCCTCCGGTCCCATCAGGCAGCAACAAAATAGCAACAAGGCTGTAACACTCACGCTATCCCACAGGAACAGCCGTAGCAGCCACACCCCCTCCGGTCCCATCAGGCAGCAACAAAATAGCAACAAGGCTGTAACACTCACGCTATCCCACAGGAACAGCCATAGCAGCCACACCCCCTCCGGTCCCATCAGGCAGCAACAAAATAGCAACAAGGCTGTAACACTCACGCTATCCCACAGGAACAGCCGTAGCAGCCACACCCCCTCCGGTCCCATCAGGCAGCAACAAAATAGCAACAAGGCTGTAACACTCACGCTATCCCACAGGAACAGCCATAGCAGCCACACCCCCTCCGGTCCCATCAGGCAGCAACAAAATAGCAACAAGGCTGTAACACTCACGCTATCCCACAGGAACAGCCGTAGCAGCCACACCCCCTCCGGTCCCATCAGGCAGCAACAAAATAGCAACAAGGCTGTAACACTCACGCTATCCCACAGGAACAGCCGTAGCAGCCACACCCCCTCCGGTCCCATCTGGCAGCAACAAATGACATAGCAACAATGCTGTAACACTCACAGCTATCCCCTCCGCCTCCTCCTGCTGCACAAGCGAAAAAAATAGAGCCCATAGAGTAGGACCCCTTACCGCCCCTGCCACAATTGCCTTCCACCAGCTATCGTCACCAACCCACCCTCTTTCCCCCCCCACCCTCCCACCCTCCCATCCCCGGAATATTGTAGATTATCGCTCATTGGAGGTCACAGCAGCCCATCAGCACTGCCCTACGGTTTGACCCCAAACTTCTCCTCAAACAGCTCGTCTGAACAGTGGAGTAACTGGCGCAAACACACCACTTTCTTAGTTGCATCCGAGTTCCCAAGCTTCTGCTCTGCAGCACCTCTCTCCCCAAGCTCATCAATGCTTAGATCAACCCCAAGTAACATTCCACTCCTCCTTTCTTCTGCTCCCAATTCACCCTCTACTGCCGCCACACTCTTAGACGCAGAACCCAGCTTGCTCCTTTGTTTTTCAGCTCCAACACTCGTCCGACTAAACATCTCGTGTGCCATTCGCACCAGTGCCACATGCCGCGGTCTGATTCGCCGATCCAAACTATAACCAAGAAAGGTAGGAAAGGCAAGCACCTCCATTATAGAGAGCCCCATGTCCCGTTTTAAGTACTCCACCTTGGGCTTCAGGTTCGCTTTCCAACTGTAATTGATAGACGGCGGGTACCTCACAACCAAATCCACCACCAACCGACGAGCCCTGCATCTCTTGACATTTAGTGCTTGGGAATACTTCTTCCCTTCCAAACAATTACCTCTATCACCTTCCCTCAACCTTTGCCTCCCACTTCTCACTTCTCCACTGCTCTCCAGTACCTCTTCCACTTCTCTCACAAGCTCTCCGAAACTTTCCCTCAGGCCATCTTCACTAGGATTCATTAGTGTAGGAAATCGTGTTAACACCCTCACAATATTCTCCTGGCCAATCAAATCAGCCAATACCGCCACCTTGCCTTGCACATTCTCCTTCGATAGGATAAGAACTATCGGGTAACTCCTTGCCACTCTTCCTGTTGCCTCCTCTCCCAACAGCTCCACAAAGAACTGGAGCTTAGCTAAGAGGGTTTCTTTGTTCAATCCGAGGATGCTGGGGGCATGACGAAGCACAGAGCTCGCAACGAAGGACGAGCCTGGGGGAGTGAAGGACTGGAGAATGGCAATACTCTCTGCAATGTGATGGGGATGACGAGTGAGGATGGATGGAAACCTCAGCACAAGCCTGCTTAGACAGCTCATGTCCAGATGCTGCTCATCTACTCGTTGCTTCAGGAGGCTTGTGCTGGTGCTACTACCTGCCTCTACCTTCCCTCCGCACCCCGCCTTCAGGTAGGCTGATAGCATCTCAAGCTGAATATTCACCGCATCTTTGCTCTGACTCAAGATGTCCGGACATTTCTCTATAATCACACCCAGCTTGTCCACAGGAACCCCTGCTTTCTCCACCAAAATGTCCAGGTTCGTTGAACGTGCCTCTTTGCAGAGTAGATTGCGTCCACGTCGAAGCACCAAGCTCAATTTGCTGCAGTGGACGCCTTGAGCCAAAAGAAACTCAAGGGTGTTTTGAATCCGTGCAAGGGGGACTCGGAGCCAGTTTGGTCCTTTCTCAGTGATGAAGGCAATGTCGGCACGAGATATGCCGTATGACTGTAGGAGACGGACACGTGGCAGGAAGTCATTGGTGGGATTGGAGCGGAGGAGCGAAGGGCAAGAGGTGATGAGGGAAGCGACAGTGGAAGGGGAGGAGATACCGAGGTGGGAGGAGAAGAAGCGGTAGAGGGAGAGGAGGGAGGAGGGAGATACGACCCGCGGGCTGTTGAGTGGAGGAGGGGTTGTGGGAGGAGATGTGGTTGGTGGGAGATGCGTGGGTGGTGCGACTTCCTCACTCGATTCTGCTTCAGCTTCCTCCCAAACTCCTTCTATCCTCTTCTCCTCCTCAACCTCCTCCTCCTCTTCCTCCTTCTCTTCCTCCTCCTCCTCTTTCACTATCTGCACCTCCTCTTCAACCTCGCTGCTTCCTATCCCACCCCCCCACTCCTCTACCTCCTCGCTCACAATCTGAGGCCCAAACTTATCTCTCAGCACTACAGCTATCACTGCCACTGCCTCCTCCTCCTCCCAGCCTCCCTTCCCATTACTCATCCCCCCGCCTCCATTGCTCTTCCTGTCTGCATTCCTTGCTCTCCTTTCACCGCCTCCCGTTTCTCCCCCCTCCTCTTCCCCTACTCTCCTGATGCTCCCCTGACCTCCTCCCCCATCCCCCCTCTCCTCGTCCTTCACTGTACGCGTTTTAAGCTCCGCTTGCACCGCTACAAGACGCTTGCTCCTAGGAAGTAATTTCGGCCCAGAGATAGCAGTCTCCACCTCGGAAGCTTTTGCGTCTGCTGGCCTGGAACACGCACCAGCGACGGACCATGCGGCGAAGCTTCGAACTTGGGATGAAAAGTTCGCTTGAGGCGCCTAGAAGCTTCGGCCTGGGTTGCGGATTTGAGAAGACGCGTTTCGCGCAGGTTCGTTTCGATCCGATCCAATCCGATCGAGGCTTGTTAAGGAAGGAACCGAAGATCGCGATGCTATTCGGTGCGTTTGAGATGTCTCACGAGCAATATATCTGGAAATTCGATCTACGAATGGCCGTGACGTATGCGGTAGGACTAGCCATAGCGATCGGCGGGCTGATCTACGCGAGGCGGCGTAGAAGTTCATGATTTCGTTGATGATCTCGTTTCATTCGTCGAAATCGTCTAATTCGTCCAGTTGTTCGTGTATGCCTGGACCCTCGCTGACATTGGCTGGCTGGCGACGCGAAACGTGAAGTCAGCTTCGCGAGCAAGGATTAGAGAATTGATATCTGAATATTATACCAATGGATGAGTGATGCATCGAGCTCTTATTTAGCTAGAATAGCTATCTAGCCTCATCTATCCAGCACCTATCTAGCTGCTCTCCATGACGGGCGCTCCCCTGATTCAATTTTGAAAACCTGAGTTCCTTGGGGCTACCAATGGGGCGAGTGTGACAATCACAAAGGTGAAGCGGTGCAGCTTGATAAGGTGCTGTGCGTTTACAAACTGTCAAATAGATATACAGAGTGGTTGAGCAGGTGCTAAGCGAATGCCCTGGGGATTGGCGAGAACTTTTCAATTAGGCTTGAGATTTGACCGAACGAATGGAGCTCCGCCCTGATGCTGTTTTCGCCAGAAAATGTAACTGTGGTTGCTTCCCAGCGAAAGATTCAATGCTGATGCTCACGAAACTGAATTCCAAGCTCCCTGCCGCTGGATGGCAAGAATTTCACCTCGGGAAAAGCAGCGTTTCGGTATACGGTAAGTTGTGATCTTGTATCTCATCGCCTTTATGAGTCTTTAAATTCTTTCATCCCACTTTTCCTGGATGGATACACATGGTGTGAACTGAGCACCCATCATAATTATTTTGGGCTCATCAAACGTGTCTTCACACTGTTCCATTTACCCAAATAACGTTGCTGTCGTGGAGAACTGACATGGAACATCAAGACACCATGGTCCATACCAACTTAGAGGCCCGAACCAGGCTTGGTCCGGAAGCCGGTGCGGTAGTTGGGCATTGTTCAGACTCTTTTCCTGTTTTCAAGATGTTCCACACCTGTGAAGAAACCAGTTGTTTTTTACTACCGCCTGCTAAACAGAAGCAATCGTCGTAGCCATGAGTGCGTAGATTAGAGCAGAAGCATTGTAAGCAGTATGCAGAGCGACAGCTGGCAAGACGCTATTGGTGTAGACAGCGAGCAGGCCGGCGGCAATCACAAGGGCCATGCTGGGGAAGAGCAGCGAGAGGGAGAGGTGGAAGAGGGCGGAGAGGGCTGCAGACAGCATGGCAGCGTCGATCCTGGTGGAAACAGGGAGGGAAGGGGAGAGGGGCAGGGAAGGGGATAATGCAGGGAGGAAAGGAGGGGAATGCAGGAAAGACGATATCAAGTGCGTGAGGATAGGAAAGAACAGTGACATCGGATTGATGAGAGAGTGCGGGCCATGAAAATAGAGGAAGTTATCAAACCACAAAGAAGGAGGTAGTAGTAAGCCCTTGCCAACCTCATTACCGAGCCTCCTGCCGAGCCTCTCACCTGCCGAGCCTCTCACCTGCCGAGCCTCTCTTGCAGGGCCGTGATCAGCAGCCCTCTGAACAGCAGCTCCTCTTCTACAGCCGGGGACACCGCCACCCACAGGAACAGCTGTAGCACGTCCAGCAGGGGGAAGGCTGCGGCGGCTGTAGCAGAGGCAGCTATATCCCCTCTGGTCCCATCTTGCAGCAACAACGGACCCAGCAGCGAGGCTGCAGCACTTACACTATCCCCTCCTCCTCCTGCTGCTCCTCCTCCACGGCTGGGTCACATTGGAAGCCGAAGAAGCCTATCAGCACCAGCCTTACAGTGTGACCCCAAACTTCTGCTCAAACTGCTTGTCTGAACATTGGAGTAACTGGCGCAACCACACCGCTTTCCTTGTAACCTTCAAATTCACAAGCTGCTGCTCTGTAACGGCTCTCCCGCCTGACTTGTAGTTGCGTTCCTCAAGTACCAATGAACTGCCACAATCCTCCCCTTCGCATTGCTGCTCTTGCCTTACACCTTTTCTTCCTTCCGCTCCCCATTCAATCCTCTCCACTCCCTCCACTTTGTCAGACACAGAACCCACCTTGCTCCTTTTTTCCCCAGCTTCAATCGAAACACGCCTCCTATTTTCAACTCTCCTCCGTCTAACTGCGTCATGTGCCACAAATGCATAGCCTGTTTGCAACAATGCCAAATGCCGCGGTCTGATTCGACGATCCAAGCTGTAGGTAAGAAATTTTGGAAATGCAAGTACCTCTGCAATGGACAGCCCCATGTCCCGCTTTAAGTATTCCAGCTTATGCTTCAGGTTCGCTTCCCAGTTGCAGTAGATAGCCTGCGGGCACTTCGCCACCAAATCCACCACCAATTGATGAGCCATGCATCTCTTGTCGCCTTGTGCCCCAGATTCATTCTCCTCTTCAAAACCGTCACCTCCCCCCAACCTTAGCGGCCCACTTACCTCTTTTCCACTACTCTCCAGTGCCTCTTCCACTTCTTGCACAAGCTCTCTGAAACTGTTTCTCATGTTATCTTCACTAGATGACAGTACCAGAGGATATTGTGCCACCACCCGCACAACATTCTCCCGGCCAATCAAATCAGTCAATACCGCCACCTTGCATTGCAGGTTCTCCTTTGATAGGTGCAGAACTGCCGGATGACTCCTCGCCGATCTTCCCGTTGCCTCCTCCCCCACCAGATCCAAAAAGAACTGGAGCTTAGCTAAAAGAGTTTCTGGACTAAGGCCAAGGATGCTGGGGGCACGAAGCACAGAGCTCGCAATGGAGGGGGTGCCTGGGGGAGTGAAGGACTGGAGTATGTTGAGATTCTCAGCAATGCGGTGGGACGAGAAACGGAGGATAACTGGAAACTTTACAACAAGCCTACATAGGTGGTTCCTGTCCAGATGCTGCTCATCTAGTCGCTGCTTCAAGTGGTGTGTGTTGGAACTATCTGATTCTACCTTCCTTCTAGTTTCCACCTCTAAATAGGCTGATAACGTCTCAAGATGAGTACTCACAGCCTCTTTGCTTCGAGTCAAGATGGACGGACATCTCTCTATAATCCCACCTAGTTTGTCCACAGGAACCCCTGCTTTCTCCACCATAATGTCCAGGTTCGTTGAACGTGCCTCCAAGCAGAGTAAGCTGCGCACACGTCGGAGCACCGAGCCCAATCTGCTTCGGCGAACACCTTGAGCCAAAAGAAACTCAAGCGTATTTTGAATCCGTGGCACGGAGGATCGAAACCAGGCTGGTTCTCTCACAGTGATGTGGACGATGTCGGCATGAGATATGCCATATGACTGAACGAGACGGACACGTGGCAGGAAGTCCTTGGTGGGACTGGAGCGGAGAAGTTGGGGTTACGAGGCGAGGAGGGAAGCGACAGTGGAAGGGGAGCAGATGCCGAGGTGGGAGGAGAAGAAGCGGTAGAGGGAGAGGAGGGAGGAGCGAGTGGTAGCTCGTCTGGAGCGAGATGTGGTGCTGCGTATACCTTCGTCACTCGCTGTTTCAGCTCCCCCCTCCTTCACTTCAATGTCCATTCCATCGTTCTCCTCCTCAGCCGCCGCTTCTTCCTCTCCCTCCACCTCCTCAACCGCCTCATTCCATCCGTTTCCAAGCCCTTCCTCCTCCTCCTCTTTCACAATCTGAGGTCCGTATTTCTTCATCAGCACTTGAGCAATCACTGCCACTGCCTCCTGCTCCTCCTCGGATGCTTCCCCCTCCCCGCTCTTACTCCCGCTTCTTTCATTTCTTGCCTTTGCTTTACCTGCTCTCCTCCCACGACTCTTACCCTCAACTCTCTGCCTCTTGCTCGTGCCGTCGAATGTGGCAGGACGAAGGAGCACATGGATTCTAGAAGACAGGGATTGGAGATGTGCTGCTCGAGTGTCTCCCTGAACGGCAAGCTCGAGAAAGGCAAGAAGTGAGAGCTCAACTCCCCCGAGCGAATGTGAAATTGTCACTTCTGGATTGTCGCCTCGGATCTGTCACGTTGGGATCTGGTCAGTTGAAGTCGGCGAAAATTCATTTCATGAAAGCTAGACTCGAGTATATGTGAGGTAGTGTATTTCCTGCATTTGCACTACCCGTTCTAGAAGACAGACATATCGGTAGAGCTTGATGACAAAGATATGAGAGAGTCGAGCTACATACGAGTGCTAATGAATCTTATTTATTCTGAAATGGGATATACATCATTTTGTTTGCAATGTATTCTGGAACATCCATGATGCACTATAAGTGGTATGCAGGAAAAGACTAGCCTCTTGTGCTAGACTGAAGGAGCAGCCGTTGCCATGAGTGCATAAAGAAGGGCAGATGCATTGTACGTGGTGTGCAGAGCGACAGCTGGCAGCACGCTGTTGGAGTAGACCGCGAGCAGGCCGGCGGCAATCCCAAGGGCCATGTTGGGGAAGAGGAGCGAGAGGGAGAGGTGGAAGAGGGCGAAGAGGGCTGCAGACAGCATGGCAGCGTCGATCCTGGGGAAAAGACAGGCATGGAAGAGGTTAGCATAGGGAGGACAGGAAGCTGACAACAATTAGTCCGTTGCCATAGTTTACAAATTCTGGCAACAGTATCTAGTCTTGCCTTGCCTTTGTAATTACAACCATAGCTTACACTACCTTGGCCTCAATTCTTAGATGTACCACGAGAGGCAAGGGTGAGAGGAAAAGAATGAGTGCTGTTGCATTGATGGGAGTGAGGCTGAACTTTGGAGCGACTGCCCCATCCAATAAGGAAGACAGTGGGTGGAAGAACATTGCCAAACCACACAACCCAGCCCCCTGCTGAGCCTCTCACCTGCCGAGCCTCTCTTGCAGGGCCGTGAGCAGCAGCCCTCTGAACAGCAGCTCCTCTGCTACAGCCGGTGACACCGCCACCCACAGGAACAGCTGTAGCAGGTCAAGCAGAGGCAGGGCTGCGACAGCTGTAGCAGAAGCAGCTGTAGCAGCCACGCCCCCTCCGGTCCCATCTGGCAGCAGCAAAGGACCCAGCAACAAGGCTGTAGCACTCACACTATCCCCTCCGCCTCCTCCCGCTGCTCCTGCCGCTGCTGCTAGTTCTGCTAATCCCCCTGCTGCCTCCCCTCCAGCACCTGTTTTGAGAGAAATTAAAGAGAAGAGCAGAGCCCATAGAATGGGACCCCCTACTGCCCCTGCTGCAATTGCCTTCCACCAGCTATCGTTTCCCCCTGCTGACGCTCCCCTCTCCCCGTCCCCGTCCCCCTTACCTCCCGGCTCCCCAGCTCCCACCCATTCACCGCGCCCCGCCCCTTCCCCGCGACCCTCCCCTCCCCCTCCCGCTCCCCCCCACGGAAGCTGCAGCTTGAGGGTTGTGCGGAGGGGGAACCCGCGGTCGCGGCACCAGGAGAGCGCGGGGAGGACGAAGAACAGCCATTGGACGAGCGCGAGCAGGAACGGCGCGGATTGCGGAGGCGCGGCGCGGAGGATAGGGCCGAGCGGAGAGAGGTCTATAAGCGCGATTAAGCCGATTAAAGACAGGCAGAACCAGGTGATTCCGTCTTGGAAGGAGGGGGAAGGCGGCGGGGAGGAGGGCGGGGATGGGGGGAGCGGAGTGCCGGGAGAGGGAGGAGCGGGGGAAGGGGGAGGCGGGGGAGAGGAGCTGGCGGAAGGGGAGACGCGGCGGGAGCTGGCGGATTCGTCGCGGCGACGGCGGTCCGCGACGGGCACGGGAAACGGAGGTGGAAGGAGAGTCGTTTGAAAAGGTATACGGCGGCTTCTCCCGGCGCTACGGAGCGCGAAGGGCGCCGAAAACGGGAAAAAGGGGAGCCTAGCTGATTCGAAAGGGATATGGCGGAAGCTACCTGTGCTAGGTCCCGTCAAGGGCGCGACAGAGCTGAGAGAACAGCAGCGGAATGTGGCCATAAGAGGCTCGTCAAGAGAGTCTGATATTTCAGAATTACGACGAGACAGTAGCACGTGTTTCTCCGAAAGTGCTAAGAAATCGGCATAGTTTGCTGTCGATAGGGCGCGGCTTCGACGCGTGGGGACGTCAGGAATGATTACGATGACATTCACTGACGGAGATTATGACGGGATTTCTCTTGCTAGTGGATGCCACATCGGAAATTCGCGCCTTTTCTCACCAGGACCTGGGTTTTTTCCCAGGCGACGGCCTAGTAACGCGTATGAGAAAGTGCATGGAACATTCTAAATCCCTGTGCCGTGGTACTTTATAAATGAATAAACATTCTCATACTGCAAACAAGAAGTATGCGATATAGCATATCTAGTTCAATATACTTTCGAAGTAGCAAACATTTCTGCCAAATCTGTGAATGTGCAAATTCAGCTGGAATCTGTATATTGTAGTGCACATGTTTATATGGGTAAACGAAGGTACCGATTTTACTAATTGCACTTCAGAATTTGCGCAAACTTCCATGATACAAGCTTCTAGATTCAGACAACTGGCTGTAGCAGCCACAGACCATGTGGGGTCCCGTGTTTCCCGCCGTCATTTTAGGAGGCGCCGTCTTTTACGTAGTTAAGCGGCTCGCCAGGCCGCGAAAGGCGCTGAGTCTCGAATGGGAGACCGGTCGGCGGAAAGCGCGGCAGCCGCACAAGAAGCCTCCCTCGTTCTACGTAAGTTTTTCTTGAGAAAGTCGGCGACTTTTTTCGTAGCTGGTCCGTCAACTGGTCCGTCAGTTTGTCCGTCACGTCGTCCGTCAGTCTGTCCGTCACGTCGCCGTCAGTCTGTCCGTCACGTCGTTCGTCAGTGTCCGTCAGTCAGTACGATTGTCAAACAGTAGGCAGAAAGCACGATAGCCGTACACGTCTCCACCCCCACTCCCTGGATTTGTCTGAAGAGTACTGTGTGTGGATTTGCGTGGGGTGGATCTGACTTTCGAGTCCACTCAAAAGGCATCTCACAGCGTGGCTTTATCTCAAAAGTGGCTTCATCTTAAGAGTAACGTGTGAAACTGCGTGTGTGTGAATTTTCGTGATTTGTTTTTTCCAAAGAGCTACTCACCAATGAGTATATTGTTTCAAACGGAAGGACACCCCCGCCCGTCGCATGCCGGTTTTTTCGAACGGAACGACTTGACACCCCCGCCCGTCTCATGCCTTTGCGTCATGTAATCGTCTCTCTGCTCCCCTTTTCGGAATGACTCTCTCTTGTCCAGGCCACGCATGGCGTGGCTTCGGCTGAGGAATACTCTATCAACCTACAGGGCGTCTATTTGCTCACCAAAGGAGTGGCTGCCCAGTGACGGGCGGCTGAGAGGCTGAGAGGCTGAGAGGCTGAGAGGCGTGGTGCTGTTCGCCAAGAAAGGAGATGCCTCTGGCTCTTCCGCTGGCCCTCCACTCCTCTCCCACCTGCTCCCCCTCGCTTCTCCCAGGCTGCTCAAGGCGTGGCTTCTTCAGAAGAGTATTTCATCAACTCACGGGTCGTCGAGCTCTTCACCAAGGAGTGGCTGGCTGCCCAGTGACGGCCGGCTGAGAGGCGTGGTGCTGTTCCAACCCAATGCTCCCCTTTCTTGCCCCTGCCTTTTCTTCCCCAGGCCGCACAAGGCGTGGCTTCGTCCGAGGAGTATTTCATAAACTCGAGAGGCGTTGAGCTCTTCACCAAGGAGTGGCTGCCCAGTGACGGCCGGCTGAGAGGCTGAGAGGCTGAGAGGCTGAGAGGCGTGGTGCTGTTCTGCCTTTCCATACCCCTGCCTCTCCCTCCCCCAGGCTGCTCAAGGCGTGGCTTCTTCAGAAGAGTATTTCATAAACTCGCGGGGAGTGGAGCTGTTCACCAAGGAGTGGCTGCCCAGTGACGGCCGGTTGAGGGGCGTGGTGCTGTTCTGCCATGGGTACGGGGAGACGTGCACGTACATCTTTGAAGGTGGGAAATGGGTAGGGATGTATGGGGGTGTGTGATCGTGTGCGTGTGGGTGGAGAATGGTGGGGCACCGCAAGCCATTGAGAGGCGTGGTGCTGTTCTGCCATGGGTACGGGGAGACGTGCACATACATCTTTGAAGGTAGGTGGTAAATGTGTATGGGGCGACGTGCACATACATATACGAAGGTGTGTATGTGGGTGGGCATGGATGCGGAGTGGTGAGGCATGGCAAGCCATTGAGAGGCGTGGTGCTTTTCTGCCATGGGTACGGGGAGACCTGCACATACATCTTTGAAGGTATGGGTCAGATGGGTATAAGGGTGTGTCCGTGGGTGCAAAACGGTGTGGGACACGGTAACCCTCTGAGGGGCGTGGTGCTGTTCTGCCATGGGTATGGGGAGACGTGCACGCACATCTTTGAAGGTATGGGCGCAGGTTGGGTTGGGTTGTGCATGTGGGGCGTATGGGTATGCGTATGGGTATGCTGGCAGCAGCAGGGTATGTGGCTGAAAGTACCAGAAAGTGCCACACACTCTTCTTCCATGTGCCACTGTCTGCACTCATCGTCCCCCCTCCCCTTTCCCTTCTCCTCCCACCAGATGTGGCAGTGATGCTGGCAGCAGCAGGCTATGCGCTGGTGGGAGTGGACTACGAGGGACACGGGCTGTCAGCCGTTCTGTTGCCACACACTCACCAGATATTCCCCTCTCTCCTCTCCCATCCTCTACCATTGCTCCCCCTCTCACTCCTCCCACCAGACGTGGCGGTGATGCTGGCAGCAGCAGGCTACGCCCTAGTGGGAGTTGACTACGAGGGCCACGGGCTGTCAGCCGGACGGCACGGGTACATCCGCAGCTTCACTCGCCTGGCAGACGATGTGATTGAGTTTGCTAATCGGTTGAGAGGTAAGCAGAGGAATTGAGTGCGGTGTTGGGAGGGGGGAAAGGGCACTATGAGGGCCACTGGTTGGCTGTCAGCCGGTCGCCACGGGTACATCAGCGGCTTCACCCGCCTGGCAGACGACGTTATTGAGTTTGCGAATCGATTAAAAGGTAGGCAGAGGAGTTTAGTGCGGTGGAAGGGGTTGGCTGTCAGCCGGTCGCCACGGGTACATCCGCAGCTTCACCCGCCTGACGAACGATGTTATTGAGTTCGCCAACCAGCTCAGAGGTATGCAGAGGAGTTCAGTGCAGTGTTGGGAGGAGGGAAGGGGGAAATAGCAAGGGGCACCACTAGTTGCCTGTCAGCGGGTCGACTCGGGTACATCGCAGATTCACCCACCTGCCAGATGATGTCTTTGAGTTTGCCGACCGGCTGAGAGGTAATGAGAGGAGTTGCCATGGGCATTGGGAGGAGGGAATGGGGGGATAGCAAGGGACTCAGGCTGCTCTCTCCTCTCCCCCATATTCTATTGAACTACCTCGTGCCTCCTCCTTTGCCACGTCCCATGGGTTCCACACATCCGAATTCTATTTGAGTGTTCTCAAGGGCCCCTTTCCCCCCGCCCCGTCTTCCCCGCCCGCCTCCTCCTTAACCCAAACACACCCCCCCTCCCCCCCTCCTCCCTCTTCCCCCCCCTTGCAAGCCCTAGATTTTACCATCTGCCGTTTTTCCTCTATGGTGAGTCCATGGCGATTCAAGTCTCATGATTCGACTCGAAACACGCCTCCTCCTTCCCCACCTCCTGTTTCTCCTCTCCCTCCCCCGCTCTCATCCCCCCAGCAAGCCCCAGATTCTCCCATTTACCGTTTTTCCCTAATGGGGAATCCATGGGAGGGGCGATGGCGATTCAATTCTTTTGAGTCGACTCAATTTACACCTCCTCCCTCCTCCCCCCCCCTCCCCCCGTCCATCCTCCCCCAACCCCTCTCCTCCCCCCCCCCACACCTACTAGCAAGCCCGAGTTTCTCCCATCTGCCATTTTTCCTCTATGGGGAGTCAATGGGAGGGGCGATGGCACTTCAAGTGTTTTGTGCCGACTCAAATCACAATTCCTCCTTCCTCACTTCCCGTTCCCCAACATCCCCTCCCTTCCCGCCCCAGCAAGCCCGAGGTTCTCCCATCTGCCGTTTTTCCTCTACGGGGAGTCCATGGGAGGGGCGATGGCGATTCAAGTGTCACGAAGAGACCCCACCCCGTGGAACGGAGCAGTGCTGGTGGCGCCCATGTGCAAGGTAAGTACTAGTTGGTGTCTGCAGTGCGGTGTAGTGCGGTGAAGTGGGGCTATGAGTGGTGCAGAGGTGCCTTGTTGTGTTGTGTTTGTGTTGAGTCCATGGGAGGCGCGATGGCGATTCAAGTGTCACGAAGAGACCCCACCCCGTGGAACGGAGCAGTGCTGGTGGCGCCCATGTGCAAGGTAAGTACTAGTTGGTGTCTGCAGTGCGGTGTAGTGCGGTGAAGTGGGGCTATGAGTGGTGCAGAGGTGCCTTGTTGTGTTGTGTTTGTGTTGAGTCCATGGGAGGCGCGATGGCGATTCAAGTGTCACGAAGAGACCCCACCCCGTGGAACGGAGCAGTGCTGGTGGCGCCCATGTGCAAGGTAAGTACTAGTTGGTGTCTGCAGTGCGGTGTAGTGCGGTGAAGTGGGGCTATGAGTGGTGCAGAGGTGCCTTGTTGTGTTGTGTTTGTGTTGAGTCCATGGGAGGCGAGACCCCACCCCGTGGAACGGAGCAGTGCTGGTGGCGCCCATGTGCAAGGTAAGTACTAGTTGGTGTCTGCAGTGCGGTGTAGTGCGGTGAAGTGGGGCTATGAGTGGTGCAGAGGTGCCTTGTTGTGTTGTGTTTGTGTTGAGTCCATGGGAGGCGCGATGGCGATTCAAGTGTCACGAAGAGACCCCACCCCGTGGAACGGAGCAGTGCTGGTGGCGCCCATGTGCAAGGTCAGTACAACTTGGGTGCGCAGTGCGGTGTAGCATGGTTAAGAGTGGTGCAGGTTGGTGTTGAAGGACTGTGTTGTGCTCTATGGCGAGTCACTCCCTACACACCTCTCTCCCTCCCAAGAGCTAATCCCCCCAGCACTAGTCTTCTTCGTTCTTAGATGCCTCTCGTACATCTTCTCCCTTTCCCTTCTCACCCTTCTTCCGCCCCTCTCCCTCCCAAGTGGCGCAATAGCTAATCCCCACTGCGCCAGTCATCTCCATTCTCAGATGCCTCTCATACATCTTTCCCACATCTTCCCCATCATCCTCTTCCCCTCACCCCTTTTGAGACGTCTCAAAACTAATCCCCCCTGCGCCAGTGATCTTTTCTCTCAGATACCTCTATCATACATGTTCCCCACATCTTCTCCGTCATCCTCTTCGAATGGTCCTTCATTGGATGTAGCATGCAATACATCAGTGCAGTTTATAAATTCAGGCACAAGCATGCAAGAGAGCTACCTAAGGCAGCTCAAAGTCCGGCTCGAGAACATGCAGGAGATCGCCCGTGTCAAGGGGCTCATCCTGGTAGGCAGAAGTCGGTGCCTCGGCCTCGAAGGCCGCCAGCGTCTTGGCGCATAGGGCGTTCGCCTGGCCCCTCTGCAGGGCGATTGACCACCTTTGGCGGTACGAATGGAACAATTTTGTTGCCTCTCGTGAAGAAGGCTCGGCATTGTGGAGGCGTTTCGCCGCCAGGTTTCCACATAGGCGCATGAACTCAAATGCTCCGGGGGAGCAGCATCCTCTTCCCCCTCTTTCTAATTCTTATTGCATTATTCCCCACCCCACACACATCTTATCCTCCAGATGGCCCAAGAGCTAATCCCCCCTGCACCGGTGATCTTCGTTCTCAGATGCCTTTCATACATCTTCCCCACCTGGAAGCTGGTGCCTCTCCTGTATCATTCTCTCTTTCTCTCTCCCCCATCCATTCCTCTTCTGTCCTCCCTCCCAGATGTCGAAAGAGCTAATCCCCCCTGCGCCAGTGATCGTCGTTCTCAGGTGCCTCTCACACATCTTCCCCACCTGGAAGCTGGTGCCTCTCCTGTATCATTCTCTCTTTCTCTCTCCCCCATCCATTCCTCTTCTGTTCTCCCTCCCAGATGTCTCAAGAGCTGATCCCCCCTGCACCAGTGATCTTCGTCCTCAAATGCCTTTCATACATCTTCCCCACCTGGAAGCTGGTGCCTGTCAGCGCCAACCCTGACGTCTGCTTTCAGGTGAATACAACAGAGAACCTCTTTCAGGTGAAAACAGGGACAGATGCCATGTCAGTGACCGCCGCTGTATGATTCATATGCCATTCCATGCGTGCATGCCTGCTGTGCTGGTGGTATTTCGAGGCCTCGTGATAAAGTTTGAGTGAGACGTCTCAAAACTTACCTTTTATCACGCCGCCGCTGTATGTTTCCTATGCTATTCCCATGCTGCGTCCATGCCTGCTGCTGCCGCCGACGTCCATGCCTGCAGGTGGTTTTCCCAGACCTCACAAGCCTCATTTCCCATGCTATCATGTGGGTGTATGGCTGCTCTGCTCGCGTTTATGTGTGCGTGTGCACACCTGAGCAGGTGCCGGAGAAGCGGGAGAGGGCGGAGAATCACCCCTTCGCATATCAGGACAAGCCCCGCCTCGCCACGGCGCTGCAGTTGCTCCGCACCACCCAAGACATCGGCGCACACATGGAGGAGGTGGGTGGGTGGGTGGGTGGGTGGGTGGGTGGGTGGGGGTGGGTGGGTGGGTGGGGGTGGGTGGGTGGGTGTGGGGAATGTGTACGCACAAACGTGCATGCGTGGCCGCGGCACTGCAGCTGCTGCGCACCACCCAAGATATCGGCGCACACATGGAGGAGGTGGGTGGGTGGGTGGGTGGGTGGGGGTAGGTCTGTGTGCATACATGCATGCGTGTGTGTGTGGTTGAGTGGGTGGGGTGCCTGGGCACGGTGCTGCAGCTGCTGCGAGTCACCCAAGACTTTGGCAGCCACATGGAGGAGGTGGGTAGATGGGGGCATGTGCGCATGCATGCGAGCAGTCTTTTCATACCACACCACCCCACTCCACCCCACTCCACCCCACTCCACCGCACTCCACCCCTCCCTTCTCCAGGTCACCGTCCCTCTGCTGATCCTCCACGGGGCAAAGGACGTGGTGACGGACCCAGCAGTTAGCCAGGAGCTGATGGGGTGCAAGCTCTTTACCGCAATTAAACCCACCTCACTTTAACCCACACCCGTTTCCCCAGGTCACAGTGCCTCTGCTCATCCTGCACGGGGCCAAGGACGTGGTGACGGACCCAGCAGCCAGCCAGGAGCTGATGGGGTGCAAGCTCTTTACCGCAATTAAACCCACCTCACTTTAACCCACACCCGTTTCCCCAGGTCACAGTGCCTCTGCTCATCCTGCACGGGGCAAAGGACGTGGTGACGGACCCAGCAGCCAGCCAGGAGCTCTTTCTGCGCGCCAGCAGTGCGGACAAGGAGATCAAGATGTACGAGGGGTGCTGGCACGCCCTCACATGCGGCGAGCCTCATGATAGCCCACTCCACCCCACACAACCTCACTCCACCGCATTCCATCCCAATCCACCCCCCACTTCCCCAGGTCACCGTCCCCCTGCTCATCCTGCATGGAGCAAAGGACGTGGTGACCGATCCAGCAGCCAGCCAGGAGCTCTTCATTCGATCTAGCAGTGCAGACAAGGAAATCAAGATGTACGAGGGGTGCTGGCACGCCCTCACATGCGGCGAGCCTGACGATGTCATCGCCAGGGTGGTGGGGGATATCATTGCCTGGCTCAACGCCAGGAGCTTGCCGCCCGGTGGTGTGCCGCCCGGTGCTGCGTTGGCTGGTTCTGTGCCGCCCGGGGTGGTTGAGGCGGGTGGTATGGGCGAGGTGGGGGATTCTGGAGCGGATGATGAGATGTCGAGTACGGTTACCAGTTGAGTGGTAACCAGCGGATTTGAAGAATAAGCAGCTGTAACAAGTACAGCAGCAGGCGGAGGTAGTGTGAAGAGTCGACCCGCTACTTTCAAGTACACTTCTTTTGAGTGTATGATTCAATTACAAATATACCAGAGTGGCTATAAATTTTGCCCCTAAGCGTGTGTGCGACAAAGAAATCACTTATTATTTCACATTGTTCAAGCCTCACCTAGAACAAAGAATATCCAGTAATGGATCAACAACAGAAATATAGAGAAAACTAAAGACTACCTCGTGAACAACATCACATCTAGCCTGAAGCGATCTACCGGACCTACAATCCACATCGCATCGGTTAACTGTCTAGAATCCACCGGTAGATGGCCTGTTGCCAGAAAACAACTTTTCTACTGGTAGATATGCTGCTGCTGCTGCTGCTGCTGCTGCTGCTTCTGCTTCTGCTTCCGCTTCTACTGCTTTGTTCACAGCCCAACAAACGAGGCAGCATCTTGCATAAGCCCTACAGGCAGCAGGCAGGACAAACGGAGGAAGCAACATCAGAACAAGACCAAGGGAGGAGGACGGTGGCGGAGGATATACGATATCTGTACCCTTGCATTTTTCCAGTGTTGAAAATCTGGCAACTGCCGGAACACCTCTTCTCATGCTTCTTTCTCTTGTATGTTAACCCAGCTACGGTACCTTACTACATCACAGCAGGCAGCAAGGAAGCTGCAATGAGGAGGAAGAGAAACAAGTGGGTGGGAGAGACGCATGATGGGGGAGGAAGAATGGGGCTCCCCAGTTTTCCTCCCCCATCATGAGAGGCAAACTGGGAGTTCAAGGTGGGTTACATTCATACCGGTGCGAGTTTTGAGGCGCCTCAAAACTCTTTTGAGGCGCCTCAAAACGGGGCTCAGGAGTTCAAGGCGAATTACATTCATACCGGTGCCTTATCACAACAGCGGAACAGGCAGCAGGAAAGTTGTAAGGAGGGGGAGAGTGAGGGAGGGAAGCCGCGTTTACCTTTTATTATACTTCAACAATGGTTCAAGGCACCTTCGATTCATACCTTATCATAACAGCGGAACGGGCAGCAGGAGGGCTGCAACGAGGAGGAGAAGGCGGAACCACAGGGCGGGAGGAGAGAGGAAAAGGGCAGAAAAGGCCGAGCGAGAGGGAGGAGGGGGGCTGGGAGGAGATGTGGAAGGCGGGGTGGTAGCAGGGGGAGGCGGTGACTGGGGAGTGGGATTGGGAAGTGGTGGTGGTGCTGGTGGTGCAGGGGAAGATGCTGGGGATGGTGGCGGGGACCCCCCAGTTGTGGGGGAGTTTGGTGGGGTGGCTGCGGATGGTGCTGGTGCTGGTGTTGGCGCAGGGGGGGTGTGATTGATGCCTGGAAGCAAGAGGACAAGTGGGAAAAGGGAGACAGACGGGAAGTGATTGGGATATGACTGGGGAAGAGAGGGAGGGAAGGAAGGGGGGTGGCTGCGGATGTTGCTGGTGCTGGTGTTGGCGCAGGGGGGGTGTGAGAGATGCCTGGTAGGGATAAGAAAAGGGAGGGGAGAGGAAAAACGAGAGGGGAAGGAAGGGAGGAGGCAAATGAGTGGGGAGGAGGAAGGACTGTGAGTGACCATTCGATCCAAAGCAAGGCTCAAAGCAACCGATTTCCCTCTAAGCTTCCCCTCTCCCCCACAGCACTCACTGGGGTCGTTGCAGTAGCGGCAGAAGGAGGAGCAGAATTCGCAGTAGAGGGAAGACATGGAGACGGTGTGACTGGGGCAGGTGGCTTGTGAGGAAGACTAGAGCTCCCCCCTTTGCCCCAGACCAACTCCCTTTCTCCCCCAAACCACTCACTGGGATCATTGCAGTATCGGCAGAAGGAGGAGCAGAATTCGCAGTAGAGGGAAGACAGGGGGACAGTAGAAGGGCAGGTGCCTTCCAGTGGGCATAGAAGGCCCGTGGTTGATATGTCGAGGAGTGTGAGCGAGGAGAGCTGGGCTAGTGCCGCCGGGAGCGAGCCGGAGAACGGATTGGCGTGCAGGTCCCTGGGGTAGAGGGAGGAGAGGAAGAGGGAGAAAGTGGGGGCAGAGGACGCCTGTGGCTGATATGTCGAGGAGCGTGAGGGAGGAGAGCTGCGCTAGTGCCGCCGGGAGCGAGCCGGAGAAAGGATTTGAGTGGAGGAGATCCCTGGGGGTGGTAAAAAAGGGAATTGGCGAAGGGAAACCAAGAAGAAAGGAAGAAATGAAGAAAGGAAGGAAGGAAGAAAGAAGGACACAAAGAGGAGGGAGGGAAGTGAGGATAGGTGCCTTCCAGCGGGCAGAGGAGGCCAGTGGTTGATATGTCAAGGAGTGTGAGTGAGGAGAGCTGCGCTAGAGCGGCAGGGAGCGAGCCGGAGAAAGGATTGGCGTGGAGATCCCTGGGGGTGGTCAGAGGGGGCGAGAGTGAAGCAAGAAACGAAGAAACAAAGAAAGCATGAAGCATTGTGGGGGGGGGGGGGGTGCAATAAGGGGGAGGTCAGTGGGAGAGTGATAAGAGGGGGAGAGCGAAGCACGAAAGGAAGAAGCAGAGGTGAAGGCACTGGATTCGGGGGTGGAGGCGATAATGTGAAGAGGGAGGGATGTGTGATCAGATAAAGAAATTGAAAATCAAAAGACAAAAAAAGGAAGGGGATGCGGGAGCAAGGGAGGTGCTACCAGGAGTTTCGAAGCACTCAAGAAGCGAGCAAGGGAGGTGCCACCAGGAGTTTCGAAGCACTCAGGAAACGAACAAGGGAGGTGCCACCAGGAGTTTCGAAGCACTCAAGAAGCGAGCAAGGGAGATGCCACCAGGAGTTTCGAAGCACTCAAGAAGCGAGCAAGGGAGATGCCACCAGGAGTTTCGAAGCACTCAAGAAGCAAGCAAGGGAGATGCCACCAGGAGTTTCGAAGCACTCAAGAAGCGAGCAAGGGAGGTGCCACCAGGAGTTTCGAAGCACTCAAGAAGCGAGCAAGGGAGGTGCCACCAGGAGTTTCGAAGCACTCAAGAAGCGAGCAAGGGAGGTGCAGGGAAGGTGCTACAGGGGAGCGGCTGGAAAGCGCACGTGGTGTTCAAAGAAGAAAAAAAGAGAGAGAGAGACAAAAACGAGCAGATTGTGGCACTGGAAAAAACGATCCAAAGGACGTACAGCTTTTCAAGAAAATTGAGATTGCCAATGGAAGGTGGGAGGGTGCCTGAGAAGCTGTTGGATGAGAGATTGCTGAGGAGGGTGGGGGAGGAGGGGGGAGGGGTGTGGAAGATAGGGGGAAACATGTGGTTTTCCAAGGATGCTGGAAGGATTGGTGGGTCGCAGGGAGCCTGGGAGGGAGGCAGGGTGGAGGCAGGGTGGAGGCAGGGTGGAGGCAGGGTGGAGGCAGGGTGGAGGCAGGGTGGAGGCAGGGTGGAGGCAGGGTGGAGGCAGGGTGGAGGCAGGGTGGAGGCAGGGTGGAGGCAGGGTGGAGGCAGGGTGGAGGCAGGGTGGAGGCAGGGTGGAGGCAGGGTGGAGGCAGGGTGGAGGCAGGGTGGAGGCAGGGTGGAGGCAGGGTGGAGGCAGGGTGGAGGCAGGGTGGAGGCAGGGTGGAGGCAGGAGGCAGGGTGCAGCCTGGGAGAAGCTGTAGGAGGAGAGGCTACTGGGAAGGGTGGGGGCAGAGAAGGGAGCAAAGGGACGGTGGGGCGAAAAAGAAGGCGTGTAGGAATATCACTGAGAATATCTCATGTAGAGTGAACACATGTGTGTGTGACGTGACATAGACGGCAGCAAGGCAGGGCAGGGCTTACAGCAGGTGCAGAGAGAAGAGGGAGTGAAAGGCGTGTGGGAGGGAGGTGGTGAGGCGGTTGGGATGTGCTTGGAATGGAACAAGTCATCATGGAGTAGAAGGCAGGAGCAGCCGAGCAGCAGCGCTTACAGCAGAGAGAAGAGGGAGTGAAAGGCGTGTGGGAGGGAGGAGGTGAAGGTGATGGGGTGTGCTTGGAACAAGGCAGAATGGTGTAAAAGGCATGAGCAGAGCAGCAGCGCTTACTGCACAGAGAAGAGGGAGTGAAAGGCGTGTGGGAGGGAGGAGGTGAAGGTGATGGGGTGTGCTTGGAACAAGGCAGAATGGTGTAAAAGGCATGAGCGGAGCAGCAGCGCTTACAGCAGAGAGAAGAGGGAGTGAAAGGCGTGTGGGAGGGAGGAGGTGAAGGTGATGGGGTGTGCTTGGAACAAGGCAGAATGGTGTAAAAGGCAGCAGAGCAGAGCAGAGCAGCAGCGCTTACAGCAGACGCAGGCTGAAAGAGGGAGTCAAAGGCGTGTGGGAGGGAGAAGGTGAGGCGGTTGGGGTGTGCTGGAAATGCGTGTGTGGCATACAAGCCAGCATCGCATGTGTAACGTACAAGGCAGGAGCAGCACAGTGTGCTTACAGCAGACGCAGGCTGAAAGAGGGCGTCAAAGGCGTGTGGGAGGGAGGAGGTGAGGCGATTGGGGAGTGCATGTGCTTGATTTTGCAAGGGTGAATGCCCCCAGTATACATGCGTGACACAGAAAGCAGCAAGAGAGGGCAGGGCGGGGCTTACAGCAGGCGCAGAGAGAAGAGGGAGTCAAAAGCGTCTGGGAGCGAGGAGGTGAGGCGATTGCGAGATAGATCTCTGGTGTATGGGGAGGGGGAAGAGGGGTTGAAATGCAAGGGGCGGGGGCGGGTGTTGCAGAGGGGACGTGTTTGAACAGTAAGCAGGCTGTAGAGAGAGAGACTAAGTAAGCATGGGAGTCAAAGGCGTCTGGGAGCGAGGAGGTGAGTGAGACGGTTGCGAGACAGGTCTCTGGTGTATATGGGAGGGGGAGGGCGGGTTACAAGGGGAGGGGGAAAGGGCGGAAGGGGGAAAAGGGGGTGGAAGGGGGAAGTGGAGGGGGGGTAGAAGGGGAGTGGGAGGGGGTGAAAGGAAGGGGGAGGGGGTGGAAGGGAAGAGGGAAGGGGTGGAAGGGGAGGGGGGGGGAGTGGTGGAGGAAAGGGGAAGCGGGTTGGAAATGGGGGGGTTAAGGGGAGAAACGCATAGGAGTAGGAATCAGAACAGAAAGAATATAAGAGAACGAGAGTTTTTTTTAGAATTCTCAAAAACATACGCCAAAACAGAAAGAATATAAGAGAACGGGATCTGACAGGAAAAGTTGATGGAAGGCAAGAAACGCATAGAAATCTCATGTAATAAGACTGTTGTTGAAACGTCTCAGAATTCGTCCCTCAAAAGGATGTCAGAAACTTGAGATTTGGAGTGTCTGCTTGCTTACAGTTTTTAGGCGCCTCAAAAGTCGTCTTACCCACCCCCCTCCCCCTCACCCCCCAACCCCCGCCCCCCCCCCCTCTTTTTTTTTGGTTTGGTGCCTCAAAAGTCGTCTTTTAACCTGCATAGTTTTTTTAGGCGCCTCAAAAGTTGTCTCTTAACCCTTAAAGCTTGAATCTGGAGTGTCTTCTTGCGTACAGGATATCAAAAGCTCAACACTTTGTGTGGTGTGCCCGCTTACAGAATTTCAAGATCTCTAAGTTGGAACCAAGCTGTGGGGATGGAACCCGTTATGTTGTTATTGGATAGCTCACTAACGGGGATAAGATGGAACATAGGAACAGCAGGAGGAATCAGAGGGATGGAGTGGAGTGATAGGTGGGTGGGTGTGACATACATCCGAATTTGAAGCTGGACTGAAAAACGCACATGTGCGATGGCCACGTGTATGAAGACGTCTCAAACCACTTCTTCATACACGTGAAAAACGCACATGTGCGATGGCGCAGATACACACATGCATGTGCAAGCAATGGCGTGTGTGTGGTGGCATGTGTGTGGCATGTGTGGCATGTGTGGCATGTGTGTGATGGCATGCAATGCATACACACAAAATTACATTCTACAGAAACGCATGTGCAACACATGCACGCATACAGATTTGGTGTGCAATGGCATGCATACATGGACGGAAGTGAGGTTGGTGAGCAACGCACAAACACATGCGAGATGGCATAGATACTCACATGATACATGCATGTGGGGACGAGCTGACTTTTGAGTCGACTCAAAAGTCACACATGATACATGCATGTGGGGACGACGCATGTGTGCACAATGAGATGCTCACACGGAGGTGAGGTTGGTGAGCAAGGACACGGAGATGGGGAGGGTGCTGAAGAGCTGGTTGCCGGGCAGGGATCTGCAGCACACAGGGAGGCAGGGGTGGGCAGGGGTGGGCAGGGGTGGGCATGGTTGGGCATGTGTGGGCATGCGTGGGCATGGGTGGGCATGGGTGGGCATGGGTGGGCATGGGTGGGCATGGGTGGGCATGGGTGGGCATGGGTGGGCATGGGTGGGCAAGAGTGGGCACTCTTCTCAGTAACGCCACATGGAGGGAGCTGAAGAGCTGGTTGCTGGGAAGGAATCAGCAGCACAAGGAGGTAGGCAGTGGTGGGCATGGGTGGGCATTGGTGGGCATGGGTGGGCATTGGTGGGCATGGGTGGGCATTGGTGGGCAGGGGTGGGCAGAGGTGGGCAGGCAGGAGTAGGCAGGGGTAGGCATGGGTAGGCAGGTGTGGGCAATCTTCCGGAAAAAACACCACACGGAGAAAGCTGAAGCACCACAGAGCACCACAGAGCACCACAGAGCACCACAGAACACCACAGAGCACCACAGAGCACCACAGAGCACCACAGAGCACCACAGAACACCACAGAGCACCACAGAACACCACAGAGCACTGCACAGCACCACCGAGTACCACTGCTACACCGCACACTGCACCATCATTCACATCTGCTGCAGGCCCTTCAGCGCACTAAAATGTAACGACCACAGAGCACCGCACAGCAACACAGAGCACCGCACAGCAACACAGAGCACCGCACAGCAGCACAGAGCACCACAGCGTACCACTGCACACCGCACCACACCATCACTCACATCTGCTGCAGGCTCTTCTTCAGTGCGCTGAAATGGAAATGACGCAGCACACACAGAGAGCAACACAGTGTACCACCGCACACCACACCACAGCACCACACACCACACCGCCACTCACATCTGCTGCAGGCACTTCTTCAGTGCACTAAAATGTAACGACCATAGAGCACCGCATACCACCACACACCACCACGCACCATCACTCACATCTGCTGCAGGCTCTTCAGTTGGCCGATCCCCTCGGGAAGATACCCAGATATGTTGCCAGGTGGCATGTTGCTGACGTCAGCATCGCGGGAGGAGAGAGGGGGAGCATGACATGGCAAGAACAGGCATGTCGGTATTTGTTGCCACATCAGCAGTAGTGTGCCATATCAAATGTAAACCGGAGCTTTAAACGTCTCAAGACCAGGAATGATCAGCATAACAGGAAACCTCAGATCACCCCTATGAGTTCAGATCACCCCTATGAGTTCAGATCACCCCTATGAGCTCAGATCACCCCTATGAGCTCAGGTCACCCCTATGAGCTCAGATCACCCCTATGAGCTCAGGTCACCCCTATGAGCTTATATCACCCCTATGAGCTCAGATCACCCCAATCTCCCCCTAGTTAGTAACCAGCCATTCAAGAAACTTAAACAGCACTACTGAAGGCACTTCTGAGAATTCTCAATAGCAGATTCTTAATTTCATGTACTGAGGAGCAGAGCATCACTTCTGAGGCGCCTCAAAAGGACCACAGCATCACACTCACTCACATGCCGATGATCCGGCCCTGATGATCGCACGACAATCCCAAGGCCTTTTGAGGCGCCTCAAACGACTTTCCACTCACATGCCGATGATCCGGCCCTGATTATCGCACGACAGTGACTTTTGAGTCGACTCAAAAGGCACTCACATGGCAACAATCCGGCCCTGATCATCGCACGACAATCCCAAGGCCTTGCTGCAGTCCGATCCAACGGCCCACGACGGCTCCAGCTCGCGCCACGCCACCTGCAGCGCTGCCAGCCCGTCGGCTGACGTGCGACGGTGGGATGGGCGGGGATGGGCGGGGATGGGCGGGGATGGGTGGGGATGGGTGGGGATGGGTGGGGATGGGTGGGGATGGGCGTATTCACACCCGCCACGGGCAGTGTTGTTAGGAGTCAAGGCACGACGGCTCCTGCTCGCGCCACGCCACCTGCAGCGCTGCCAGCCCGTCGGCGCGCCGGTGGGCGGGAAAGTGGGAGGAGGATTTGACGCGAGGAGATTGAAATGAGGGCGACGAATCCGCCTCATGCCGACAAAAACTATCACGGAGACGGCCGGCCGAGCTCTCATGCCGCCGAGCGCGTAGGGTGTTTCTGAGAATTCTCAAAAACACCCTGAGAATTATCAAAAACACCCTGAGAATTCTCAAAAACACCCTGAGAATTCTCAAAAACACCCTGAAACTATAACGGAGACGGCCGGCCGAGCTCTCATGCCGCCGAGCGCGTTTTGAGGCGCCTCAAAAGTCGAGTTCCAAGCGTAATGCGAACAAGTGACCAGGAGGGCAGGCAATGGCGGAGAAGACTAGGCAATGCTGGCAAGCATTGGTTGGTCAGATGCGAGGTAGCACAATGAAGCTAATGTGCACCACAAAGCGATGCTACGATTTCTCTTAGCGCCGATGCTACGATGTGCACAGGCAGCGGCGGCATTGCGGCAACGATTTGGGGCAATGCGGGCGAAGCAGCGATGGATGCGGCTAAGATGCGGCAGGGCACCTTGGGAGGCGGCGATGTTGGGCTTGGCCGCCACGAGGCGCTGGTGGCCGAGAGTGGCGCTGGTGAGGAGCAGAGCGACGAGCAGAGACGCAGCCATGGCGGACGATGTGTGGACAGAAGGGTCCAAGAGCTAGCTGGTGATTTTCCAAAACTACAAAGTACAAACTTAATAGCAAGCCAACAAACAGCCCACCTAGCTTAGTTGGTAGAGCGCAAGGCTCTTAATTTTGTGGTCGTGGGTTCGAGCCCCACGGGCGGCGCAGTTTTGGCACAATAGAAGTCTAGACCGTTATCACAAATGGAAAAGACGAGGTTTTGCCACGTTCAGCTACTTGGCATCCATAATACGGTTACATGGAGCAATGTAGCTAACCCGCAGCGTGTGATCAGACTACCCAACATCATACATCCAATCCCCCTTCCACATGCCCCTCAGCTGCTTCGGCCTTCCTCCCACATGGCTGTTATGCTGCTAAGTATTTACAAAACACAGCCATATTTGTCCTGCTCTCCTCCCTTCCAAATGTTCCACAACCACCCAGCGGCCAATCCGAGCCTATTCCATTCCAAGCCTACTCCGAGCCTGAATGAAGTTTTTTCCGAACCTCAGCCAGGCCCAGTCCAAGCCGGGGCAGACCAAGAGGCCGGGCGGATGTCCTTGGGGCGCGTGCCCTCATTGTCCGGGCGGCATGGATCGGCTCCATTCTCTAGCAGAAGGTCGGCAATTGATTCGTGCTCGCACACTGTAGCGTAGTGCAGGGGAGTCTGACCCTCATCGTCCTGATTGAAGAGGTGGGGGAGGGGGGAATGTGGGCGAGAGAAGGAGACGGGGAACATCGGCAAGTGATTCAGGCTCGCACACCACTGTAGCATAGTGCAGGGGAGTCCGGCCCTCATCGTCCTGGTAAAATGAAGGTACGGTAAAATGAAGGTACGGTAAAATGAAGGTACGGTAAAATGAGCCAACCGCCAAGAGGCAAGGACTCACAGCTTCAGCACCACGAGCCAACAGACACTGAGTCATGGCCAGCTTGACCCTTTTGGTGTCATTTGAAAGCAAAGGGGGGAGTTAGAGGGGAGAAGGGGGAGAAGCGGGGAAGTGGGGGAAGTGGGGGAAGGGGAGGGGGGGGGGAGTTTTGAGAGACCCAGGTGGGGAAGCAGTGACTTGACTTACAGTTTGGCTGACATCAGCACCATGAGCCAGCAAGCACCGAGTCATGCCTAGCTTGCCTCTGTCTGCCGCCCAGTGCAGCGCCGTCCGGCCTTCGTCGTCTGGTAGTGGGAGAGACAAACACAGAAGAGAGACTTTAACGGCAGCGGTGATTAAAAAAAACAAAAGTGTACACGCACACAGTCAGTCATAGATACATTCCCGCCCACTCCACATTCACCACATCAAACCGCTCTATCGCATCACACCACACTGGTGGACCACATGCCACCACTCCACACCGAATCTCACCTCTCTGTTCCAGAGCCTCTGGGTGCTCCTTTATCCATTCCTCCACTGCTGACGTGTCCTCCACGTCAGCACTTGCCAATGCATGCAGGCGACTGGAAAGGGGGTGGGGGAAGGAAAGGGGGAAGGGGGAGAGGGGAGGGGAAAGGGGAGGGGAAAGGGAAGGGGCATGTTACAGTCAAAAGGACTTTGAATTGACTCAGAAAAGGGGTTAAGGGGAAGGAAACGGGGAAACATAGAGGGGAGGGGGGAACGGGGAGGGGAAAGGGGAAATGTCACAGCTGGACGGATGCAGGAGGGGCAGGACGGGAGGGGAAGATGTGGGAAAGTGAGTGTGGACCGGAAGGAGACTGAAGAACGATAGGGAGCAGGAGGAAGGGCGAGAGAGGATGCGGGGAGGAAGAGAGGATGAAGAAAGTGACGGAGGAAACGCAAAGCACACTCACCCAAAGCCAGAACCACTGCTGTCTGCTTCCGCCGTTCCACCCTCTCCCCCTCCCCCATCCTCCCCCACCTTCCCCCCCTCGCTCTCCTCCCCTCCTTCCGCCATCAGCATAGTACTCACCCCCCTCCCTGCCCCTCCCCCTCCGCTTCCCCCTCCCCCTCCCCCTTCTCCGCCCTTCGATCCCTGAGAGGAAGACGATTGGAAAAGGGATTGGATGCATAAGGTAAGCTTGAAAATCTTTGACTTCTTTTTCAGGGTGAGTTGGGGGGCGGGTAACCATGTCCTAAATAATTCTCACCAGCCCTTCCCACACCCGCTGCCCTTCTCACCATGCTATTGCCTCCTGTTACATCGTGCAGCGATCTTCCACACACACACACACACACACACACACACACACACACACACACCCAACATACAGCTCACCTCATCGCGTGCATTCGGAATCATCTGCTCCACCAACCCCAAATACCAACTCGCGCCCCACACCCTTGAAGCATGTGTGCGTCGCGGAGAGAGAAGCAAACCATGCCATGCCCCCACATGCTGCTCACCTCATTGGGGTTCGGAATCATGTGCTCCACTCCACCAGCTTCACATACTTCACTGTGCCATCGCCCCCCCCTGACTCATGCGGCAATATACCACCCTTGATGATGCATCCCTTACGACGCACATACCCCACATGCTGCTCACCTCATTGGGGTTCGGACTCATCTGCTCCACTCCACCAGCCCCACAGACTGCGCCATGGCTCATGGCGTCCTTGTGCCTCACACTGCCAGCATGCACGTGCACTCCCTTCCACAAACATGCGTCTCATTCTCACCTCATGGTGGTTCGGACTCATCTGCTCCACTCCACCAGCCCCACATACTGCGCCATCGCCTCGTCCTGACTCATGCAGAGACATGCTCCACAACGCACTAGCGGTGTACACACACACCCGCCACATGCCACAAGCTTCTCACCTCATTCGGATTCGGAGTCATCTGCTCCACTCCACCAGCCCCACATACTGCGCCATTGCCTCCCTATGCATCACGCTGCCATCGTGCCATATACCCTCTCACATGCATGCATGCATGCATGCTTCTCACCTCATTTGGGTTCGGAATCATCTGCTCCACCAGCCCCACATACTGCGCCATTGCCTCGTCCTGACTCATGCTCCCCAGCTTCTTCCACGCGTCCCTGTAACAGGACAACAGTGACGCGTACGGGAACAAATCACTCAGACACATGGCAAGCCACAAAATCTGACTTGTTATTTTCCGTCGGCAAGCAGAGCATATGAGGGGGAAAAATGCTCACTCAACGTTTGGCTCACCGTGAAACTGTACATGGCGTGCTGTTTGCAGTGCTAGTGCTGTTACCGTTTATGTTTCTCGTTTCTTCAAGGCAGCAGGAGAAAAAAATAGGACGGATGCTCACTCACCATTTGGCCCGCGCCTTGAAGCTGTACACGGCAGGCTGTTTGGTGTCGCACGGCCCGTCGCTCGCCTGCTTGTACAGACCATACAGCAGCAGCTGCAGCCCCTCTCCAATCTTTAAATTCCCCGTAGCCGCCATCGTCGTCACCAAAGCTGCCGCCGCCGAGAATAGATCCTCCGCCTCTGACGCCTCTATGCCCTCCCAGTCGTCGTCGCTCTCGCCGTCCCCCCCGCTGCCCTCGTCCGGGTCACGCGGAGCGGACGGCTTAGGAGCGGCGGATGGGGCGGAAGAAGCGGAAGCGGGAGGCGGAGCGGAAGCGGCGGGCGGGGCGGAAGCGGCGGAAGGTTCCGCGGAAGTGTCAGTGGCGACTGTAGCAGTCGTGGAGGCAGGGGTGGCTGAGGAAGTGGGAACGCGAACGGGAGAAATGGCGGAAGCTTCCGCGACACCGGGTAAAGCGTCACTAAGTGCGTCATTAAGTGTGTCTTTTAACGGGACTGGAGCAACAGATGAGTCTCCTTGCAACGGGTCTAGGTTTCCTCTGGAGACGGGAGGAGTAGCAGGAGACACTTCGACAATATCATCATCGCTAGTGTCACCATGTGCGTCACAAGCGTTGTCGTTTCCGAGCTCGCTCGGTTTGTCTTCTTCTGCCTCGTGCATCTCCACCTGATTCCATTCCTCCTCCTCTTCCTCCTCCTCGTCCTCCCCCTCTCCTTCTCCCTTCTCGTCGGTTTTCCTCGTTATAGTCATCTCGCTATTTTTAAACGTGAATACAGTGTGCATGACGGTGTACAGCATCCACGCTAGTATCAGGGTGAAGAATAACGGGGACGCCACGTCCTCCAACCAACGAAACGCCAGGGTGACACCCCCCGCACCCGCCATTGCTGATGTGTCTCACAGTGAGTTTCAAAATCAGGCTGCAATAATCGTGGCAGTTCTTCACAGTAACGAAGGAATACTGTATGAAAGGAAATTCCAAGTTAAGATGCGCTGAAGCGGCGCGTTGCGTAAAGGCTCCAATGCCGTGGCGCGCCTTGCCGAGCAGACAGCAACGCAAGCGAAGTCGCCTTCCAAAATATATCCACCGCTTCTGTTAATCCGTGACGGCACGAGCGGACACTTCGAGACGGCAACCCTGCTGCCTTGAAGCTAGCGCGATAGTAACAAACGTATCGCTATCGCCTTCTCTTCAAGCTAGCTGGCAGCAGGGACAAATGGGCTTGTTCTGTGCCTCATACACACTCACTCGTCTGCAGCACACTCACGCCTCAAAGTTCCACGTCTGAACATACAAGTATTTGCGGTTAGTAACACGTAAAGAACGGTAAAACATGGTTCCCAGATGGATGAAAGGTTTTCTTGGGACACACCTAAAACCCAAACCAACCTGAGGTTGGGAATTGTGCAGGGAAAAGAGAACCAATCTCTAGGTGGGCTGGACAGACCTAGGGATTCTACCAGACCATAACATTTTTCAAAGCGCGCTGATTACTGTTGGATGACTTTGGTCGTTGGATGCTTGTTGCAGGCGCATGCTTGTTGGCGCGCATACTGGGGGCGTCCTTTTTTGTGTGTATGCGCTAGGAGGACATCGACCAACCATAGATGGCCTATGATTACTCTTAGCTAAGTTTATGTGTACGAATCTATCAGTAAACGGGCAGTCAAGAAAAAACAGATTGCGACCTCTCTTCCTCGAACCCATCAGGTCATGGGCCCGTGTAGCTCGACTATTGGCTCCTTGCGGAGCGAATCAGCGCCTGACTGAGAGCCTGGACGCATCGCAGGTGTGCTGGCTGACGGGGCGTCACCAGTGATTGGCGTCACTTGAGACAGGCGCCACATCAGAATCGGGATCCTCGTTAACAGCAGTCAGTAAACTGCCATAAGATGATATGATCTTAAACCTCGTGGCTGTTGAATTGAATAGTCTGACCTGACCACACTCCACCTCTCCAAACTACAAGTAATTTGACATCTGGCAACTCGCTTAGGTACACCCTCATGTTCTTTGAGTGAATCAGCAGCAAAACTGTATGTGACATTGACAGGCACATTAGCTACACTAGGCTAGAGAATTGCTATTCTGATGCGAATGATTTATATACATACAATACATGTACCGTATCTACTTAACCTTGCTAGATGCTTGTTTACTCTTCTTTGTATTACCACCTTTCTCTTTTCCTGTGGTCTGCTTTCCCTTAGCTATTTTCTTCGCTAGCCCTTCCCCTCGCTGCTGCTGATGGCATTCCAGCCCATTCGCCATCACATCTGTCCCATCCAAACCGCTACCCTCCATTTCTCCAGCACCACCCTCCTCTCCTACTCTTGCCCCGTCACCCTCACCTTCGATTTCCCCATCAACCAGTGTTTGCTGCGACCCAGCCCCCTCGTTTTCTGACCAACCACCCCCGTCTGCTTCTCCTGACGCTGCTGCTGACACACATTGAGTCTCAGGCAAAGCATACTGGTCACAAAACTCCAGGTTGTTTGATCCACCTTGGCACATTGATTGGATCTCCACAGGCGTTTTGTTGAATAGCTCAAAAGGCACCTGGCCAGGTGCCTGGAGCGCCAGCCAAGGAACGTCACCAGGCACCTGAAACGGCACCTGAGGCGGCACCTGGAGCGGTGGCAGAAACGGCACCTGAGGAGGAACCTGAAGAGGGACTGAAGACCCACAGGGGGTCTGCAACTGTAACGGAGGGGCCTGAAAGAAGGGGAGCTGGTGTAAGATCCAAGCTAGTTGCACTGGGTGTGGCATGGCATGTGGCACAACGTGTGGAAGGGCGTCTGCTGTTTGATACACCATGAAACTCTCTGGGAGGGCATCTCGTGATGGCTTCACTGCTTGCTCTCTCTCCTGTGCTTCAGCCAATGGAGTCGTTGCTGGTGCTGATGCTGCTGCAGCAGCAGCAGATGCTGCTTCTGATGTGCCTGCAAGTCCATCTAATAACTCTGTCCTTGCCTGTCCTCCCCTTGTTAGCCCCTCTACTTCTCCCTCTGCTTCTGCCTCTGTTTCTGCCTCTGCCTCTCCCGCTGCCACGCCCTGCGTTCCTGCCAGTGCCTCTGCCTCTCCCTCCCCCTGTGCCTGTAAAGTTTCTGCTGCTGCTGCTGCTTTTCCTGTTGCTGGTGCTGCTGCTTCCTGCATGGCAGCAGCAGCGGCAGCGGCGGCAGCCTCAGCAGCAGCAACAGCAGCGGCCACCACAGCAACAGGCACATCGATCAGCTGCTGCCGGTGCCGCCTCTTCCGCACCACCTTGCGCCTCAACTGCCCCGCCTCCACTGCAAAGGTCTTTACAAGCACGTCCGGGTGGAACGACACTGCCCGCTGTCGCACCTGGGTGTTTGACCTCCTTGGAGCTATAGCAGCAGAGTTTGCGACTGCAGCAGCAGTAGAGCCAGAAGGAGCAGCGAAAGCAGCAGATTCCACAGCAGAAGCAGGCACTGCAGTACCAACGGCAGCAGCAACAACTGACTCTGCCTGCTGCCCCCTCTCCTCTGCAAACGAATTCTTCTGCACCTCCTCTTGCTGCTCCTCCCTTATCCCCTCGTGCTGCTGGGCCTGCACTACAGTATCTGTGTCCCTTATCCCCTCTCCCGCCCTCATCTCCCCCTGCTGCTCTCCCCGCCCACAGGCTAACTCTGTTACCAGTGATACTTGCGTCGACTCAGAACTCACCTCCCCTTGCTGCTGCACCTGCCTCTCCCCCTGCTGCTCTCCCCGCCCACAGGCCAACTCTGTTACAAGCGCAGCCAACGCTCTCACTTCACTACTGCTCGTGCGCAGCTTCCCCGCACCTTCCTCCTGACCAGCCTTTGCTGCAGCTGACTCTCCAATCTCCGTATTTCCTACAACATTGGATTTGTAGAGAGGGGGAGAGAGGGAGGGATCAAGGGTCCCAGCTCCTTCCCCCTCACCACCATCCCCTGCCGCTGAGTCTCTCACAGCTTCTCCACTCTGAATAACCCCCTCTGATGATCTTTCCCCAGCCCCTGTGAGCGATTTTTGAGAATTCTCAAAAACCCCTCCTGGTGATCCTTCCGCAGCCAGTGTTTCCGCAGCCAGTGTTTCCGCAGCCAGTGTTTCCAGCCCATTTTCCGAATCCCCTGCTGTACTGCTGCCTTCTGTGTTTGAGCCACTTTCAAGAGTTCTCAAAAATGCTGCTGATTCTCCCCTAGCTCCTGCCTCCGATCCATTTTCCACTAGTCCTGTAGGGCTCTTGTCTTTGATAATGGTGGCACTATGTGTGGCCAATTTCTCATGTGCGAGAATAGAGGTCGTTGCAGTGGTTGTGGCAGTGGTTGCTGCAGCGGTTGTAGCAGTGGCAGTAGCAGCAGTTTTCCCCCCAGCATCCGCCTTCCCTGCACTTGCTCTCCCCTTCTTCCCTGTTGCCTTCACCCCACCCACTTTCTCTTTTTCCTTCACCTTCTCCTTTCCTTTCTCCTTCTCCTTCTCCTTCTCCTTTTGCTTCTTAGGCTTGCGTGGGCTCTTGATGCCTTTCTCCCTTGCACGACCTTGTATCGCATCTGCCTTTAGTGGGGACAAAGCTCTTGACTCTCTGCCACCTTGTAGCGCATCTGCCTGTAGCGGGGATAAAGCCAAGGTCTCTTCACCAGCTTGTAACGCATCCACTTGTTGCAGGGCGGATGCCAGTGCCTCTTTATTGCCTTGTAATGCATCAGCCTCTAGTGGAGTACCAAATTCTACCGCCTCTTCCCCTGCCCCTTCCCCTGCCCCTTCCCCTGCCCCTTCCCCTGCCCCTTCCCCTGCCCCTTCCCCTGCCCCTTCCCCTGCCCCTTCCACTGCCGCTGCCTCTGCCCCTGCCTCTGCCCCTGCCTCTGCCCCTGCCTCTGCCCTTTCCCCTGCACCTCTCTTAGCTACTTCTAAGCTTGGACGGTCAGCGCACCCTCCTTGCTCCACATTTCTTTGATCTTCAACGAAAACAGACCCTTCTGTCGTTCCCTCCTCTCCATCCCCCTCCTCTCCTTTCCCCTCCTCTCCTTTCCCCTTCCCTCTGTTCCCCTCCTCTTCTTTCCCCTCCTCTCCTTTCCCCTTCTCTCTTTTCCCCTCCTCTTCTTCCCCGTCCTCTCCATTCCCCTCCTCTCCATTGATCTTCCTCCCCTCCCCTTCACCCTTTTCCAGACCCATATCTGAGAAGAGGAAAACCCTGTCCTCAGGCGGCTTCAGAGGCTCCTCAAAAGCCGTGTCTGAGAAGAGGAATTCCCGGTCCTCAGGAGCTCCCATAAATATGTTGAACACACTGCTGCGACTGGGAGTGCTGCTGATGCAGCTGCTGCTGCGGCTGTAAGTGCTACCGGTGCTGCTGCTGCGGCTGTGAGTGCTGCTGACATCGCCGCTGGTGGTGCTGCTGCAGGAAATAGACGAGACTGGAGAGGAGTGGGAAATCATATCAGAATGCTTGGGACGAGGAGAATCACATTCGTTCCAAGTCCTGGAGCTACCACCAGTGTCACGGTCAGCTCTAGCTGCAGCAGCAGATGCATCTCGCTCAGCATCAGCGTTTGCAGAAGAGTCAGCAGTACCAGCACAGCCAGTACCAGCACAGCCAGTACCAGCACCGCCAGTACCAGCACCGCCAGTACCAGCACCGCCAGTACCAGCACCGCTAGCAGCGTTTATCAGCTTCCCAGTTTTCCTTTGTGTAGCACCCTGGTGATGCTGCCTGTGCTGCCGTCCCCCTGCTGTGCGCTCCACAGCAGCCAAACCAGCAGCAGGGGAGGAAGCAGGAGAGTGGTGAGGGGGGCGAGAAGAGGAGGAGGAGGATGAGGAGGAAAGTGGTGAAGAGGAGAAGTTGGAAGAAACTACCAGCTGTAGAGGCGCCTGCTGTCAGAAGGAGGATAGGGTTGGGGTAAGATCCCGAGGACATGTGGACAAAAAAAAAAAAAAAAAAAAAAAACCCACACACACACACAAGGAAAAAAGGGAGGGGTGGGAGCATTTGAAATGTTTCTGAACCAGACAAAGCGGGGAGAAAGGAACACCAATCGATGGGAAAGGATTTAAAGCGGATACAGACGGCACGGTGTCAGGAAAATTCTGGACAGATACCTAAACCTGACCCAAAACATGGAAGACAAAACTTTGAACCTGACCCAAAACATGGAAGACAAAACTTTGAGCCTGACCCGAAACATGGAAGACAAAACTTTGAACCTGACCCAAAACATGAAAGCCAAAACTTTGAACCTAACCCCAGATAAGGAAGTGAAAACCATAAACCTGTCCCGAGACACGGAAGTCGGAACCCTAAACCTGACCACCCAAGGCAGAAACCGAAAACCCAAAATCCGGAAGCTGAAAGGTGAACCCCGACCAAAACCCAGTACCTCAAACCCAAAAATCAAAAGCATGACACTATCATTTCATCTGAAGACAAGGGGCTTGGAATGGGCTTTACCTTTTTAGCCTTCCCTTTCCCTCTCTTCGACTGAGGCGGTGTCGACGCCAGCCTCTCCTTCTCCTCCCCAGATGAGAGATTCCTTAGCAATCCCAGATATTTCTGCTTGTCTTTTTCCTCCCCCAACTCAGAGCAACCCTCCACACCCCCCTCCACACCCCCCTCCTCCCAACCACACTCAGTCACACCCACTAATTCCAGTTGCACCCTTGTTGTTGTGCCATTGTGACGAGGTGAATCTTGAGTCAGCTCAAGAAGATCACCCTCCTCCCAGCTACACTCCATCACACTCACTCCTCTTCCCATCACACTCACTCCTCTTCCCATCACACTCACTCCTCTTCTCACACCAGCCCTTCCTCCTTCTAGTCCAAGCCCCCCCAGACCCATCGGGGCTCGCGACCCAATATCCCCTTTAATGGCAGTCCCGTTTTTGGAGACAATTCTCTTCTTAGAAGCAGCTGCAGTATCGTCCTCCGTGTCCTTAAGCGCATGTATTTGAAGGCTACTATCATCAAATGGTTCACTATAAGCCACCTCGCTATCACCATAAACAGTTTCACCAGAAGCAGCATAATCAGAACCCATACCGACAGCACCACCAGCACCATCACCAGAACCATCATCAGCATCAGCAGCAGCAGCAGCATCAGCAGCACCCAAAACAGAATCTCTGTCTTTGCTGTTCATCTGCTTCTTCTTTTTCAAACCCCCCTTCCCCTTCCCCACCCCCTTCCCCTTTCCTGCCCCCTTCCCCTTCTCCACTCCCTTTGATTTCCCCGTCAGCTTATCTTTGGCCTTTCCCCCGTCTGCTTCCTTCCCACACCCTTCCGAGATGGACACCCCTCCATCAACACTGTTCATGCTGCCAAAACTACTGTTCATGATGCTGGCAGCTGCGGCAGCGGGCGGCAAGGGCTCGTCTTCTTCTGCCGCAATGATGCACTGCAGCACCCTGGCCGGCGGGAAGGCCTCATCCAATGAGGTGACAGCACCATAAAAACCAGCATTCCCATTCCCACTCCCACTTTCATTCCCACTCCCACTCCCACGCTCATTCCTGTTCTCATTCTCACTCCCGCATATATTCTCAGTATCATTCACCTTCTCCCACTCACTCTCATCCTCTTCCCTCTCACTCCTCTCCCGCCTGCTTCCACCATCCTCCCCACAACCCTTCCCCTTACTCCCATCTCCCTTTCTCGCTCCTCTCCCCACTCCGTCCTCCTCCCCTCTTCCCTTTCCTCCTTTCCCAGCCCCTGCCAACAGCGGCAGCAGCCCCCCATCTCCTCCCCCCATCCCTCTCGGTCCCCCCATCCTTGGCCCTCCCCCCATGCCTGCCCCTCCCCTCTTCCCTACCCCTCTTCCCCCCAACGGCAGCAGCCCTTCGACTGCTCCTTCCCCTCTCCCTGCTTCCGCATCTCCCCCTCCCCCTCTCCCTGCACCTCCCCCCATCCCTGCACCTCCCCCCAGCCCTGCCCCTCCCCCCAGCCCTGCCCCTCCCCCTATCCCTCCCAGCAGTGCTGCCCCCCGCGAGCACAGCAGCTGGAAAAACATCTCCTCGTGGCTGGCACGCCAGCTGTCGCTCAGCGATTGGATGCGGGCGATGCTGGGGGGAGGGGCGTGCACAGTAAATTGCTCACTGCCAGCGGCTGTAGCTGTGGTGGCTGTAGCAGTGGCGGCTGTAGCAGTGGCGGCAGTCTGAACGCTGCTGGCACCTTGTCCCTCTTTCTCTCCCTTGCCTGCTTTCACACCCGCTTTCACTGCTGCACTGCTCTTGTCGCCCTCCTTATTGCCCTTTCCCCCCTTTTTAAGAACGCCCTTTCTTTTAGTCAATGCTGCAGCTCTAGTGCCTTTCTTCCCAGCGCCCTTTCCTTGAACAACATCAGCTACAGTCACACCAGCAACAGGCACATCAGCAACAGGCACATCAGCAACAGGAAAATCAATATCAGCAGCAGCCACATCAGCATAAGCCACATCAGCAGTGGCCGCTGCTGCTACATCTGCTGCGGATGTAACAGGCCCTGTTACATCCGCTGCTACAGCTGCTGCTGCATGTGCTGCTTCACGCGCTACGACATCCGCTGCTACAGCTGTTGCAACATGCCCTCCTGCATCCGGTGCTACAGCCCCTGGTGCATCCGCTGCTACATCTGCTGCTACATCTGTTGCTACAGGCAATGATACAGGCGATGCTACAGATGGTGCTGCCTCTGTTTCTGCTACAGTTGATGCTACAGATGCTGCTGCCTCTGTTTCTGCTACAGTTGATGCTACAGATGCTCCTGTCCCCGTTTCTACACAAGGCAACTCGGCTGTCTCACGTGCTGCCTCACAGCAAGCCCCTGGCATAACTTCCTGGTTGCTGCTACTGAATGGGGGAGCTATAGCTACAGCTTCAAGTGCAGGTCCCTGCAGTGTAGCAGGTACATGTGGTTCTTGGGGGACCTCAAGAACAGATGTAGAAGCCGTAGCTTCAAGTGCCGGTCCCCGCAGTGTAGCAGGTGCAGTTGGTTCTTGGAGCATATCCTCGAACAGGAGGGGTTGGCTGCTGCTACTGAATGGGGAAGCTATAGCTACAGCTTCAAGAGCCGGTCTCCGCAGTGTAGGAGACGTGGTTGATTCACTGTCACACTCTGCTACAGATGCTGCTACAGGTGCTGCTACAGATGCTGCTACAGATGCTGCTACAGGTGCTGCTACAGATGCTGCTACAGATGCTGCTACAGGTGCTGCTACAGATGCTGCTACAGGTGCTGCTACACTCCCTGCTACAGATGCTGCTACAGATGCCGTTACAGGTGCTGCTACAGGTGCTGCTACAGGTGCTGCTACAGGTGCTGCTACAGGCTCTGCTATAGGTGCTGCTACAGGTGCTGCTACAGGTGCTGCTATAGGTGCTGCTACAGGTGCTGCTACAGGCTCTGCTTTTGGTGCTGCTACAGGTGCTGCTACACTCTCTGCTACAGATGCTGCTACAGGTGCCGTTACAGGTGCTGCCACACTCTCTGCTACAGACACTACTACCGTCTCTGCTACAGGTGCTGCCACAGGCGCTCCTACAGGTCCTGGCTCAGAGAAACATTTAACAGCATCAAGACTTGCACGTGCCTCCACACCATCTGCCTCTCTCTCCTCCGATGCAGCTCCATATCCCCCGTCCCCCTTCCCCTCCCCCTCACCCTCCCCCCCCCCCCTCCACCTCCTCCTCCCTTTCCACTTCCCTCTCCCCCTCCCTCTCCACTTCCCTCCACACTCTCTCCCCGCCCTTCCCACCCGCCCTCTCCTCCCTCCTCTTCATCCTCTCCTCCCTCCTCTGCTTCTCCTTTCTCGCTCTCTCCTCCCTTTTCTTCCCCTCCTTTATAAGCATCTCCTGCCGCTTCATTATAATCTCCTGCTTCGCTAGAGCTGCTTCCAGCTCACACGCCATCTGTTTTTTCATCCTGCCCGTTTCAAACCTCTCCTCCAATCCTGTATCTTCCACTGTAGGCGCCAGAATGCCTTCACCTACCCCAGGATCCTCCACTGCTTCTGTACCCCTTATAGATGCATCCCCTGCTCTATAAGCCGTTTCTCCTGGGCCTGCAGCTGCTTTTATCCCTACTGCTAACTCCATACTACTCCATCTCACTTCACCCTCCATATTACCCCTGTTCTCCTTGCCTCTCCCACCCTCCTCCTCTCTCTCCTCCTTCCCTCTCTCCTCCTCCTCCCACCTTTCCTCCTCCCTCCACATACCAGATAGAACAGCGGCAGGAGGCCCTGCAACGCACTCCACCGCACCGAACCCCACCCTCTTCCCCTTCCCCTTCTGTTTCTGCTTCACCCCTACTTCCTTCCCCCTCCCTTCCTCCTTCCCCTCCTCCTCCTTGTCTCGTCCTTCTTTACCCCTTCCCTCCTCCTTGCCCTTTCCGTCTTCTTTTCCCCTCCCATCCTTCCCAGCACCACCACCAGGCATCAGAGACAACGAGAGAAGCTTAGGGGGGCGCAGGAACTTTGGGGCGTGGAGAGAGCTCCTAGAGAAGCCCAGGAAGGGAAGCACGGAGCCTGGCGTCTCTGTAACCATAGCGTGGTGGTTACCAGTCTGGCTACCACCCGTTTCGCCAGCTGTAAGAACAGGCCCAAAGGCACCAAACGAAGCTGTTACAGCAGCAGCACCACCACCAGTACTACCACCTGCAGCACCACTAACAGCAACACCACCACCACCACCACCACCACCACCACTAGCAGCAGCAGCAGGAACAGCCAATATCCTCTGATCCAACCCTGCACCTCTTACTCTGTCCCCCTGCGCGCCCTGCGGGTGGGGAAACACCTGTGAAGGCCTGGGGTTGGTGGGGATATGGCTCGAGCTGGTCGGCTGGGAAGAAGAGAGGAAGCTTCCTTCTTGCGGCAACGACACGTACCGGCTCTCCTGAAACTGCGCGGAAGCTTCCTGCTGCTGCTCTCTCTGCTGCTGTTTCTGGCGGGAATTTTCTTTCTCCTGCCCGGAGTGCGCGTTGGGCAGCTTCGAAAAGAGTTTAGCCATGAGCTGATGCTTGTGGCTGTGGCGTGCGGTGGGAGTGCGTGGGATTTTCTGTGCGGTGCTGTGGGGTATGGGTGGGTCTGTTACGAATGCTGCTGGGTGGAAAGAGGAAGTGGGTGGAGGAGGGCTCCCTTGGTCCACCCTGCTACCAGCAGTGCTGCTGACGCTCAAAGTTTTTTCCGGGCAGCTCAAGGGAATAGATGCTAAGCTGAGATTTTCCAGGTAGCTCGCCTCCCATATTTTTTCAACGTCTGCCCGGTGTGTCGGGAGCACTCCTCCTGCCCGAGAAAACACCACGTGGACTGGTCTGACTGCCCGACCATCCGCAGTCATCACACCCCACGCTTGCGCAGCGTTCCGGGCAGCGTTGAAAGCTGTTCGCGGGGGCGCAAGCTGCCCGGAAAGCTCAAAAGAAACAGGAGAGTCGCCAGGGTGAATCTGATCACAACTCTGCAGCCAATTCCGTACACTATCCACCACGCCAGGCGCTTTAGCTTCCAACTCCTGTACGTCTTTAATCTCCCCACATACCCTTAACCATTCTCCCTGCTCCCCCATATGGGCCAATTCATGCTCCACCTGCTGCTGCTGATTATGAAATTCCGGAACTGCACAAGTCACTAGTTTCCACGAAATTGCGTCAGGAGCTGCATCCGTCACTGTAGCGAAGGCTCCAAGAACTTTCACTATAAGAACATCCCCTGGGAGGGCTGCTGCTCCGCTGATTTCCACTGCCTGCATGGGCGCTCCTGATTGGACGGCTTGATAGGGCGAAACTCCGTTACCAGTAACAGGGTTACCAAAGGCGGGGTGGGTAGGATTAGTGATGTTACTGAAATAGGACTCGTTAGAGTCTCGAACAAACCCATTGCTGTCGTCAAAGCTGCTCATAGAAAGTTCATTGCTCCTGTTCTTACTACTGCTGTTTCTGCTGCTGTTGCTGCTGCTGCTGACAAAACTGCTGCTGCTTCCGTTACTGCTGCTCCCACTGCTGCTACTGGTTTGAACCCACGTCTGAGGAAGAAAACCGATATTGTATGGCGCGTTATGGGAATAGTGAGACGGCCTGCCATCCCGTGCAGTTATCCGCAATGGAGTGAAATCCTCGTCAGCTGCGGGCTCCACCCGTAACCATGAGCCACGTGGCGTGGTAACCACCATGTGTAGCAAAGGCGCACTGGAAGGCCCTGTCCAATCGCATTCTGCCACGCTGGCAGCGTATCCCCCAACTGGGGACAGATACGAAGCTGCCAAGTCGGTCCGTCCGCTGACGTGGCTTCTTGGGGAGGCGTAGAGCGGGACGTGGTGCCACGTGGACACGCCACGTCCGTCGTTATCAACAGTAATGGCACGCCACCGGAGGCTACCGGGCTTCCCGAACTGAATGATTCTTCCCATGATTGACTGAAGGACTTTCCCCCTTGTGGTGCTTCTAGATTGTCTCGAAACCACGACTACTACACTGATAGCACGCCAATGGCTCTGGTGTGAGAAAAACGAGAGCTCCCGTTTCAGCGCGCTTATGGCGTCGGCGCGACAATGTCGAAGGCTTCCGGAATAACGTATCCTTGTGCTTCGGTAGCTGCTGAAACAGCATTAATCGTTTCGCCTTCGTTTGCTGCCTCAATACCCCCGTACGCGGTATAAGCACCGTACTACGACTTCTTATCAGTGAACATCGCACTCCAAACGCACAACAATAAAGGGGTCCGTCGTACTTCGTACCGGCCATCATGACATTCCGGGTGTCACTATCTTAGCGGGTTTTGAAAACATGAGCCAACGTGACTCCCTCGAAATGCGAAGCAGCATTTGACCTAGACACTCTAACGACGCGCGAACTCTGGGAGGTGAACCATCAACCGTTCCTACAATGCTTCTAAGTTAGTCACTAGGAGGCGAGACTATCACTAACACGACTGACAGCGGAATCTGGAAGGAATGTGCTTGCCTGTTGTTCCGCCTGGGGGTTGTCATTCAGCCTAAAGGTTGACGCGACCACCGAAGGGAAAAATCGTGGCGGGAAGGAACTATGCTGATAACGGGGATTACATCTGCCGAAAACCACCAACCAGTCGTATGCCCGCAGGCTTGTATCGGGTGTTTGTGAAGTGGGACGAGAGGTCCATTTGCATATTCGAAGTACACCGGCACTGCAATAAAAACTTTGGTTGGCAGGAACATCCCTTCTAATCTATATCTAACCCCCCTTTGTGATGGTGTGTGCTGATAAATGAAGTTTAGAAGTACAAATGTAAAGAGGTTGCATCTAAACTATCCGTGAACGTTAACTCTAATAACTACCAAAGAACACCCGAAATGTGTCGTACAAAATGCGTGCCACAACTGCATCAATAAGCTAGCATCGCATCTGGCATCACCATTCTCTTTCGGGCCAGCATTCCCACAGTCCCAAGGCCTCGGCCATTTAGCTGCAAGGGATCAGCCGAAAGGGAGGGTGAGTGAGGGGAGATGCGGACGTGAGTGGATATAAATGTGGCTCACAAAAGGACTGAGGCATGAAAGCCCCTACTGTTTCTCCCCTCACACCACTCCAGTCAGCCCTCAGACACCCTGACTCTACTCCCCCTCCTCCTTCGACCACCCTCCTTGGAAACTCTCACTAGCGCTTGATGGGGGCAGTAGATGTGGTGCATGAGGACAGAGAGGTGCAGAAGCCCCTACTCATCCCAACCACTCCAGTCAACCCTCCTCGACCACACTCAGCCCTCCCCACTCCCTCCCTCTCCCCTGCTTCTCCCTAAACCCTTTATCCCTAGAACACTAACCCTAAAGTGGCGCAACAAAGGACAGCGATGCGCAA